AACCATAGCGGACGATAATGCGGAGAGCAGTCTTTATTTTCAACCATCTGGAAAAGATTGTGCTGTTGATGCCCTGGCAGAGATTGGGAAGGAAATTATGGATTGCAAGATGTGCTCCAGCGCTACCATCCATGTTTACTACTGAAAACACAGAGCACGCTCGCTTGTGGCGCCATTGCGTCCTCTACTGAGCATGCAGGACACTTAAGTTGTTCGAATGCAGTTCACACAGGAGATCACATACAAGTCGCATAGTTTTGGAAATGTGAACAAGAATCGTATTTCACAAAAAAATCTGAATAGAGCGCTAGGGCCTTCAGTGTGAATGTAACCTAAGTGGCTGTTTGGCTGTGCAATTTTTTTCTAAAATGCTCTTTTAAAAAAAAGTTTAAAAAAAATATAAAAATAATGACATTGCAAAAAGGATTTTAAAATGCAAAGAAAAAATGAAAAATTAAAATGGATAAAGGAATGACCATTCAAACTTATTGGCAAAGAAAGCTATTTATAAACACATTAATAAAATGAGTATTTTTTTAAATATCTATTTACAAATAGCATTAGAAAATACTTAACTTGTCCTGATGCAGTATTGAATAACTGATTCTTAAAACTGGATTTCTGAATCTATGGTTTAATTTAAAATAGGTGTATTTCTTTTTCAATGAATCTCGTGGGCCTCCAAAGATCAAAAGGAATGTGTCTTTGTGTTAAGATGCATCTTTCTTTCTTGGTCCTGTCGGTTTAGATTCTCCTTCTGTAGATTTTGGTTCACTTTGACCTCTTGTGTCCTTCATCTGTCTCTGTGAGTTTTTCAGTGCACTCCCCTGCCAGCTTTTGTTAAACTGCATTTTTTCTGATCACTCACAGCTGACGCTTGTGGCATTTCTCTACCTCAAAATGTATTAGTGTTTGAATCCAGTTCCACAAAAAATCACCATGATCCTTCATACATAATTCATCTGTTTTCTTTGACAGTGTGGATAGACGGCTAATAAACTCTTATGGCCACTAACCGCAGTTTTAACTTCTTTTTTTTTTCCCTTTCTTGTTGGGGGTGGGGTCCTCAGACTTTGTCACATAAGACTAAAATATTGTTACTAGATTCTGGTTTGCAGAGAAATGGAATATGCATTTAATAAAGCAATAACTTATTTTTGTTCAGTACAAAAGATTTGTTACACGCTGCACCTTTAGGAATGGGCAGTTATTTTGAAGACTCTTTAAAAATTTTATTTTTATAGTGTCCACCAATAATTCTGCCTGTTCAGCTCAGATAAATAGAGAGATCATCATTAGCTGAGCTTCATTAGCCCGTATGTTATGCCTAATGTATGTTATTAGTGTTCTTAGTCATGAAATAAATTGTTGGTGCTGATTTTTTTTCCCCTTGAAAAAGCAAACAATTTCAGAACAAAGTGTTGTTCATTTATTAACACCTCCTCCATAAACGGATCAAAACACATTAACTGTTCCAGAACCTGCCTGCACGGCCTGCACTGTGGGACGCAGACCAAAGGCAGACAATAGAAATTCAGAGCTTTGCTACAAAGCACACAGACATGTTAGTAGGTTAAGTCAGTTCGTTTTTTACTCTCAGTCCGGATCTTGGAGTGAAACAGGAGCATGCAGGAGACTTTGGGAAGGTTTTCAGTCCAAGACGCTCTTCCTTTCGGGATCTTAAAGCTTAAATCTGGGCACAGATTCCTAAGGGGACCTTTGGTTTTTACAGCCTCCTGTCGTCCTTCTTTATGTCTCAGTCCCGAGGAAGTGGAGACTTCCTGACCTCCAAGGTGAAAACATCATGGCGGCTCTCGCCTCCATGGATTATGAGGGGTCAGGAAATGTTTGTTCTGATCATAGGAAGGACAACTCAAACATACGCAGGACATTAACCAGAAAATTTAGTTGACTTATATGGTTCCTGGCAAATTTACTCATGCCTGTTTTTTTTCACATTCTGTCACAATACATCCAGAAAACCTCAATGGGATTTTTATGTGATAGACCAACACCAACTCTTACAAAGGGGAAAATTCTGAATATTTTTAATAAAAAAAAAGTCAAAAATCAAACAAAACCTATTGCAGCTTATCGTCTAATTATTAAATGCCATCTGATTGAATTCAGTATCATTTTAGCTGTTCATTAACGATTTCACAAAGCATCAGGACAATGTGTGAGGAGACATTTTTAGCACTGTTATAAAACACCAAAATAAGCATTGCATATCTCACCGAGCTCTGTTCAGTCCACCATCTGAAATGAAATGGAAGCACAACTAAAACCCTTCCAGGATGTCGTTCTTTTTCCAAATAAACCGTGAACAAGCCAGATGGGTAACTCAGGAGGAGCTGCAGAGATCTCCAGCTCCGGAGAGAGAACCGTTCTTTACGCTTTAAAATTGTTTTTTTGTGGTAGAGCGGGAAAGAGGGAAGCTAATGCAGAGGGATGGCTTTTAAAAGATCTGACTGTAAGATTAAACCAAAAGTGGTGGAAAGCTAACATTGTATATCTACCTGCTACAGGGAGACAGAGGTTGGCAGAGGCAGCAAAACACAGGTGGAGTGGAGCTACGCACATTAGCTTTTTATTTTTGAAATAAAGTCTTATAACTTCAAGCATTTTAGGTTCAAACCCATATATCAGAGTCACCCCGTCCCTGTCAGGCTGGTTGCTTATGAACTCAGTGTTTTCACTCCGTCACAGAAAAGATAGGAACCATTCTCCTCCGTGTCATCCTTTGAATTTATTTATCAGACCACAAGAGACTGTTAAAGTACTATTAAAAAGTACACACAACTGCATCTCTTTAAACTTCCTTGTCTTCCTGTTTTTATAATTTTAGATTCAAAGTTTGTTTTGCTAGAGGAGGAGAGACAGCCTTTAGTGAGGCTCAAGTTTTTAAAATCTTTAGAAAAAGAAACATTTCAGACAGATGTAGTTATTCCAAAGTAGCAAAAGCTGTTCTCACATCATGGCATCCCTGAAGAAAAAAAACCCACTTCATTATAGTAGGTTTTTTTGTTTGTTTTAAGTGGTTTGATATTAAGCGTTTATCAAGAAACTCAGACAAAATCTGATCATCTAAGTTCCCTGCAGGCAGAGTGAGGAAAAGTCTGGGTCAGGCAGCCGCTGCGTGTCTTTGATTGAAGAAACAGTGCCAGATCTCCCCTGAAGAGCAGGAAGCATTAATCCCAAGGCAAAGCCTGCGTTGGTTGTTTCTCTGATCTACTGTCACCGAGAGACAACTTTTATCAAAAATCTCCTTTTTCTGAAGATTTTGCAAATAAAAGCTCTAATTAGAACAGGTTGGTTGACGCTTTTTCATTTAATTTGAATCAATATTTTTTTTTTATCATTATTCTGTTTAAATGCTTCCCTATTTTTAATGTTGGGTTTTTTTCTTATGTAAACATATAAATTAATGGCTTTTTTTGGCTTGTTATTAAAATGTGGAACTTTTGGGTTTTTGTACATAGCTTAACTAAAACTGTCCTCAATGCTGCGCCTGCACGCCGGACCTGTGGCTGGAGGTGAGCAGCCCTGAATGGGATGGATATGGTTCTGTAGGACCTTGGAGCTCGTATCTAAACGTGTCACACACAGGAACCTAAAATAGAAATTATTTGAACTTCAGCATTTACGGAAACCCTGAGGTGCCACATATGAATAATATTTTTTTTAAAAGCCCTACATTTTTATATATATATATATATATATATATATATATATATATATATATATATATATATATATATATATATATATATATATATATATATATGAATAATCAAAAGAAATCCAATCATATCATGTTATGGATGCATCTAGAATAGAATAGAAAATCCCTTTATTGTTTCAAAATGGGGAAATTCAAAACAGGATAATAACAAAACAAAAAAAATCGGAAATATGGAGCAGAGCGAAGGTAAAAGAAAGAAGGAGGAGGTGGGGGAGACCATGGAAGGAGAATAATTGATCAGTTTTGTTCAAAAATAATAAATAGTCAATTTTCTACATAAGATATGCCTTAAAGCTGAAGTCTGTAAGTTTTTAAAAATCACTTTTTTGTCATATTGGCTAAAACTGTCCCTATGCCCAGACAGCAGTACATGTGATATGTAACCTGTGAAAAAAAACTGCTTCAATTGGTCCCGCCTACTGCCTGTATTTCAATCTGGAAAGAATAATTCGGGACGAGACAAAACAACCAATCACAGCCAGAGGAGCGTCTGATGGAGTGTCAATCACAGCTCACACACGCTGAATCCCCCCCCCCCCCCCCCTTCTGGTCGCATGCGGTAGCCGCGCAGATGCTGTGAGAGGGGTGGAGCTTGGAGGTGGGGCATGAGTGAAGCAGAGAGGGTGGGGGAGTGGCGTGAAACCTGTTTTTCTTCACATTTTCAGTCGAAGTCTGCTCTCTCCTCAATGTTACAGACTGCAGCTTTAATTTAACGCCATAACTAAGTGAAAAACAATATTTCTGAACGGCCAGAGGTTGTTTTGAGAGTGCCTTTGAATTCCCCATTTTCACTGCAACAGGATGATCGCTCAACATTTAGAAGGCATCAGCTAAACTGACCAAACTGTAACCTAAGGGAGACTTTTTTTTATTAGGATATTTCACCATGATTTGAGCAGAAAAGTAAGTCAATTTGCCAATAGAATGAGATTATGTTTAAAATAAGAAAAAAATAGCTTCATTATCTATTATCTGCAAAATACAGTTTCTAATGAACTTAATTTGAGGCCAAAATACTAACTTATTTTTAAATTACCCAGTGAACCTGCTCCAATTAAGGGCAATACCCTTGCTTTAATAAATCCTTACTCATCCTTAGATACATTTTTGAAGTGTATTATAAGCTCTCTCCTGAGATGTCCCAGTGGCAGATGAGGCTGTTAGTAGATCTGTTGATTAATTAGTGCCGATCTTTAAAAAATGTATGATTTGTTTTGACGGGTGTGTGCTTGTTTAAAAAAAAAAAACTCTGTGATCTAACTGCTGAATATAGATGCGTGCCAAATGTCTCCATTTCTCTCCACTTTAGATCTACGGATGTCTTGGTGTTGATCTGTCACATAAAATCCTGTTGAAACGCATTTGAGTTTCAGGCTGAAATGGAACAAAGCGTGAAAAAGATCAGGAGTTTTGCTCAGATGAACAAGGCTGTCTATGTATGAATTTGGTTGTGTCCAGTCTGCTTGTTGTAGAACTCTTTTTTAAAGACAGAAAGTTTCTTCTGTCCTCTGCAAACCTTCCTGACTGCAACTTATTTTAAGCTGTTTTCTATTGTCCAATCTTTCCTCAGAAGATGCGGGGACCCATCGCTTTAGGCATGTTCCACATTTACATACCTATCTTCTTCTAGAAACATTCAGTACCCTTCTCCTCCACACACCCCTGATCACATGGCCCAGGATATGTTGGCCGTATGCTCCTTGGCCTTCATGCGCAGCACGGCGATGCTGGACGAGCGCCTCTCGAACTCAGGCTTGGCCTCGAAGGCCGGGTGGCTGTTGGCAGAGGGCGTGAGGAGAGAGTCGGCGCTGAAGAAGTTGTTGAGGGAGACGTGGCTGAACTGGTTCTGCTGGCCGGGGAAGCCCACGTAGCCGTGGTCGGCCGCAGAGGCGGCGGCGCGTGGGGAGTGTGAGTAGGAGGTGACGCATGGAGGGGAACCTCGGGGCAGCATGCAGGAGGAGACCACAGAGCTGCTGGGAGCAGGGCTCGGCCACAGGTTGTTGGGGATCTGATGGGAAGATTTTAAAATAAGATTTAAATGACATTTTAAAAATCCAACCGTCATAAAGAAATAAGAGTCAAAAGACGTATTGAGAGTCATTTGTTGTAACTAAACAATAAAAACAACAGAAATTGTTTGTAATCATTTTAACTCATCGTCTAACCCTCTATTTTTTTAATATTGGTTTTAAATTGGTGTTCATTTTTTATTTCCAGCTTTTTAAACTACTGTTCACTTTTTAAAAAAACACTTTCTATTCAATGTTTTTATTATTTATTTATCCGTTTGTTTATTGACCTTTTCCTGCCTTTACACAGAGTTTTTGAATGAATACAGTAACATGTTACTAAATATTTATTTGTAATCCAGTCGTCTTAAAATAGGAACATGAAACTAAGATGAGCCCCTTAATCCTGAGGCGACTAACAAAATGTTTTCTCCTTTTGTTTGCTTGATGGCTCACTAGGAAGTTAAGCAACTAGTTGAAAACATTAAATCCTTATGCTCATGGTCTTTTTTTGTTGTTTTCTTTTTTACAAACTCTCTGATTCCTTAAATTATCTGCATTATATTCATTTTCATAAATTGATCTGAGTGTCTCAGGAGATTTAATTTGTAATCCATGACATCCTCGTCCTCTAAGGTGTAAATATCACCCAGAATGTTCTACTATCCTAAAAAATGTTAAATGAAGGCGTTCATTTTGATCCTTAATTCTTGTATAGCTGTAAGGACATATCGAAACTAAATGCCCAAATGCAAGAACCAAACAAAAGGCAAACTATGAAACTGTGATAAACAACAAAAGCAGCTGAATTTATTCTATGTTGGGTTTTATTGGGGTTTATTTTCACATCTTTATCAGGTGCATCAATAAACATGGAGCTCACTGCAAATGATTGGGCTCTTATCTAGAAAAAAGACTCAGAGATAGAAATATTAGATATATTATCGTCTCCAAAAGTTAATGTCTTAATCTGAATGCAAGATTCTACATTATAATCTGCTTCAAGTATATTATATGGATGTTATAAATATCAATATTTATAACAATATCAACTAGTTTTTCCTTAGATAGAAAACTCTGAATCAATTTGACTGGATGATCTGGTGAACTGTAAAGTGCCTTGAGATAACATGTGTTGTGAATTGGCGCTATATAAATAAACTGAATTTAATTTAGATCATTTCAGCTGTTTTTTGGTGGCCTTTCCCACAGATTTAATGCTTTAATCTTGTTTTTGTTTTTTTGTTTGTTATTTTAAGAGAATGTAATTATAAATTTAAATAAAGATGCAGAACTGATTTTAAAAAGTGTTTGAATCAAAGAGGACATCAGGGCTGACTTGCAGGGATGAACCCTGTATGAAGGATTAACTGGACACCTACAGCTTAAAGGAGCTGAAGTCAAAGATCTCAATTCAGAAAGTTAACATTGCGTTATCCATAATGTTACATCCATTTAATGTATCTATCTGACAGAGACCATGTGATCAAACATACAAATCAACAATGTTTGCTAAGAGATGCATAAAGAGTTTATAACTAATGCGAGTTTTCAGCTCCTGTCCCTGGATGAGCCTTTCTACATATTCAAATAAAAACAGGCAGATTTAAGCCTCTTACACTCAAACACAGGCCAGTCTACACTCCATTGGTAAAATGCAACAACTAATATAGATCTAGACAGTCACACACACACATGCAGAGGCATAAAAACCTCCCTCAGACTCACACATAGTTGCTTTATAACTGGGAACAGCTTTGGTTATTTTTAAGAAAACACATGAGCTCAGTAGTGAACTCAGATAAGGACTTCAGCTTGTTCATTGATTCCTGCGTTTTGAAGTTTAATTGCGACTTAGCTATGTTACATCACTGATTCTATGCGCAATCTGCCGAGACAGACTAGTAAAATCATTCATTCCTACTTATATCCAGTCAAATGATACTCCTTTTTAAAAGGTACGTTCAGACTGAAGGGTATTTGTCCATTTGCCCAATTTTTGGCCTCTTGGAAAACAAGCAGAGACCACATTGTTTGAAAATGAGTCAGTCCATTTTGACAGTGAGACAAACTTCTTTTTTTTTCTGCCGTAAGGACACCAGGTTTCACCAGAGGAATAATGTTTAGAGGTTAAAAGTCTTCAAAGTGCCCAGTTTACAGCGTGTTTCACAGATGAGGACGACCGACAGAGAGACAGCGTCATGTTTAAAAGTAGAACCCGGCTTTAAAAGCTGATCCATAATTGAGTTCAGCTGTTTGAACTGGTGGCGCCGGTATGTTAAGGCCTCCTTTGCTACAAATATGTGGATTTCTGCAGGACATTTGAAAGCTCTGACTCTCCTTCTATTGTTTGCTTGATTTCAGAGCGTCTCTTTTATTTAAAAACCTCAGCACACATCCCTGCATGGAGCTTCTATCTCCTTCCTAGAAAAAAAGAAGGAAAAAAACTCCCCAACAGCGGCTTTGTGAGAGGGGAACGCCTAACCAAAGCACAGACTGACACCCCGCATCTCCTCTCACCTCATCTTGTACCTGACCTTTGCTCAGACTGCAAGATTAATGGAGAGCCTACATGAAATCGGATATAAGGCCATTTATTCTGACATGACGCCTCACAGGGGCTCTAATCAGCGTCCCAGGTTCTTATCTAAAGATGGCTTTCAATGCAAGTGATTCATGGCAACCCTAATGATTGTACAGGGGATTGCAAATTTTAATATAAGATTTTTAAAACAGTATATAAGTATTTTAAAACAGGATAACAAAAGGATCACCTGTCAAACTGGAGGATTACACACAAAAAATTCAGTTATGAACTCTAAAAAAAGGATTTGATGATAATTTAATTTAAAACGTCGTCTTTTATAAATGATATTATTCTAGCATTAATTAAAGCTTTAATTATGTTTGTATTTATACTAAATCTAATTAGTATTTGGATGAAAACGCTAAATGAGAAACACCGAAGCCAAGTGCAGGATATTTATATCTGATTTTTTTAGGGATTAATGTATTTTATAAAAAAATGGTCACACATTTTTAGCATGTGTCCTGAAAAAAACTGAAATATAAGTGATTTTTTTCCTGAACTTCAAGTGAATTTTCCCTTGATTTGAGCGTGTAAGTAAAACAGCCGATACAATACACTTAAAAATAAGAAAAACAATGGTAAATATCTCATTTCATGTGCATTGTATCTAATGATTTTTATTTTAAGGGCAAACGTACGCCTCCCATTGGCAGACTATCTGAAAAAAAATAATGCAACCCTTTTGGCATTTACTTAATCAAATTTAGTTACTTTAACACCATTGCTTTATGCCCTACCCCGCTAACATTAAATAATTGTGTTTAAGTTACTAAATATGATTAAGTAAATTATTTTTTTCAGTGTGATCAAATTAAGGGGAAGTGGATTTAACTTTGCTTAAACTTGCTAAAGATGATCTAAGGTTTTTAGGTTAGGCTTCAGTTTTATTTAGAGTTATGCCTAAATAACAAAAAACATTTTTTTATTGTGTTTTGAAGAAGTTTGACATATCTGATCAGGAAAAATGGGTTATATATGGTATCTCAGTGGAAATTCTACCATTTTTTTTTTTTAGATTTTTTTTTTTTATTATTTGAATGGTAAAATTAAGTAAATATTCACCAAATTTCCGCTAAGAAATAGAAAAAAAATCTTCCGCTCCCCGTTTTATTACTCTTATTTATTTTTATTTTTTTTTTTTAGGGCAGATTGCTTTTTTTCTCTCGTTCAGTCTGGTGCAGATGTATTATTTTTCAGCTGATTTCTGAATGAAACGCGGTTTTAAACTGGCCTGTGTGTAGCTGTCCGTCCGGGGTAACACTGACAGGTCGTAGGTGGCAGCGAAGTGACTTTTGGCCTGTTGGATCTGTCCGTATCGCTCTCTTTTCCTCCACTTTGCCCTCCTGTTCTGGAACCAAACCTTTGGAAGAAACCAAACAGATCGAAAAATAGCAAATTAAATGTTGAAAACTAAAAAAAAAATATCTATAAATAAAGATAAATTCGTTTTTAGTTGTTGATTTTTTTTAACCCCACCAAACAGCACATGACTCATAATAAACCCCTGATGCATATTTGAAAAGAACACAGAAATGCTTTATCTACCTGCACCCTGGCCTCCGTCAGCTCCGTCCTCATGGCCAGCTGCTCCCTCACATAAACATCTGGATAATGGGTTTTCTGGAACACCCTCTCCAGCTCCTCCAGCTGCCCGCTGGTGAAGGTGGTCCGGTGTCTCCTCTTCTTGCTGCTGGACACGTTGCTGTCGCACTTGTCCCCCACGTCCTCCAGCTCCGTCTTCTCCGGGCCGCTGGTCACCGGAGAGGCGCGCAGAGAGCAGCAGCTGTCGATGGACCTCTGGAGATCCGAGCGCAAAGAGTCCTCCTCTGGTTTAGGAACACCGTAACCAGCTGATAGGAAACATAATATATTATATTATTATATTATATTATATTATATTATATTATATTATATTATATTATATTATATTATATTATATTATATTATATTATATTACATTATATAATATTATATTATATTATATTATATTAGTTTGGATTAGGTCTCATGGTTGATAGAAAAACATTAAAAACGTTGAAAAAAAGAAAGAAAGAATCCTTGAACAAGTAGAAAATGTTGAAGATTTACAGTAATGCAGAGAAAGGAGCGTGGAAAAGCAGCGACCTACCGCTCTGATCCCCGCAGGGCGAGGAGCGGTGCTCGGCGCCCTGCAGCCCGAAGGCCTGCGCGCACTTCGGGGACGGCTTGTTGAAGTACTGCGCGCTGTCCAGGCTCTCCATAACCTGATCCATATAATACTCGCTGGCCTTCATCGCCTGGCTTTTCAAGGCAAACTTATCCTCTATGTACTCCATCATAATTGCAAGAAAGTGTTTCCCTCTAATTGAATGTCAGCATCTATAAATATAAAAAAAATTGTGGGAGGGAAAAAAAAGGCGAATAGAGGAGTAGAGAGATGTCCTGTAGGTAATGCAATAACGCGCCAATGGAGTTTTAATTTGCTGCGCGGTGAAGCCTCATGGTCTAATAGCCCCAAAGAGAAGCTCTGAGACCCTTAAAGGTCCTGGAGCAGCCCTCCTCCTCCTGGATACACTGAAAAAAACAAGCGGTTAGACTTTCACTAATAAAAGCGGGAAAATAATTAGCTAACATCTTAGATGAGTGGAACTAAATTCATATTTCTGAGTAGAAATTATACCAATGAATTTTTTTTAATTAAAATAAGATTAATAAAAAATAAAATGGTTAAAGACCTAAACAACCTATAAGTAGCATTAGTTTACATATCTTGTGTGTTTGGATCTAACTTTAGAATTTGTGAGTAGCCATAAAGATGGTGAAATAGCAATAATCTCTAAAATCTAATTGTAAACTTTTTCCTTGATATCCATGTGTAGAAGTGACTGACCCGTGGGGAAAAAGCATGGGTATGTAGCACTGGTGCTAATGCTACTATTAGTTGAGGCTGGATATCATCTTAACATCTTTATTTAAAAAGTATTTACCCATCAAACAACAAATATATACAAATCAGTGGAGGAGGTTCACACCACGCTGACAAAAAGCTCGCTAACATGTTCTGCTTCTGCTAAGCTCGCTAAAGCAGGACACAAGTTTTAACTCTTATCAAACCAACAGTGATGTCAATGCACATTTGTTACATAGGTAGAAGTATAGATACTGCAGTATAAAAAAAATCTGGTAAAAGTTGAAGTATCAACTTAACCTCTTTACTCAAGTAAAGTCAAAAAGTATGTGCTCCAAAAACTACTTAACGTATAAAAGTATAAAGTAACCTTTTTAAAAAAGCAGCCAGATGCCACTGCTTGAATTGAAAGGTCAATTTTTGACTATTTCGAAAAAAAAAAAAAAAAATACTTTGAGTTAGGGCCAAGAATGAGGGAGGTCATGTTGGTCTCCATCTCCCGATACGCTCTCGCGTATCGCTTTTTCTGAATCCCACATTGTAGCACGGCATAGACTATTCACGTTAGCAGTTTGAAGAACACCTGCTTGCTTCTGATGATTTCCTTTAGCTAACCAATTAGTTTTTGCGTTCTATGACTCATCCAATCACACTAGTTTTCACTAGATGTGGATGGAGCCAATGATCTGCATTGGATGTAAAGTAATGGAGTAAAGTATAGATACCTAAATAGTGTACTTAAGTACAATGAAGTATAACGAAGTATATGTACTTTGTTATTTGAGACGTCTGCAAACCAAAGATAATTAAGATATAGAACTCATATAAACATATCAGCAGAGGTTCACTCTATATAACAAAAAATTTAATGTCAAGCGTGACTTAAGCATTAGCTCTGCTGCTAAGCTACCGAAAGCAGGCTTTAAGGTATATATATATATAGCCTATCTTAAGGCCTATTAATAAACAAAAGTCCTTATATTTCAGCTCATATTTAAACATCTCTGCTTTTCTATTTCCTGCCTAAACAGAACATTAGATTGACCAAAGTTGTAAATTATACTAATTAAGATAATAGAGAATATTTGTAATTCAGACAAAATAATAAGATAAACCATTTACATGCAGTTTTCAAGAACATAAAATCCTAATATGGACTCAAATCTAACTCCCTTCTCAAATGATTTTTTACAGTGCATGACTGCAGCTCCTCCTATGCAGCCTGAATCCAAAGCAAACAGCATTTTGATGTGACTGCAGACCCGCTCCGAGGAAGCAATCAAAATTGACTGTAATTTACAACATGTTTAGACAGGCGAAATGAGGCAATAATTTATCCGAAGCTACAAGTTGCGGAAGAAAATGAGGCTGAAACGGAGAGAGTTGGGCAGCGCGCTGATCCCTGCTGCTGCTAATCCGTTAGACGCTGGAGGACCGGAACTCTGTGGCGGACAGGAAAATGCTTTATTATGAAGATGAATGGAGCATATGCCTGCATGTAAAGGCTGCTTTATTGCTGTCACACAGATTTATCGGATGTAATGTTTATGATTTATATTTTATGACATTTTTTTTTACCTTTCAGTAAAAAAAAAAAAAAAAAAAAAAAAAAAAAAAGACAGGAGAGGGGTTGGATTTAAGGTAGCTAAATCCTTAAAAATTAAATTTTACAATATCAAGAAAAGCAGAAAATCGAATAAATGAAAAGTTTTATTAAAGAAAATAGGCATATATTTTTTTTTATATTTTCCCTGTTTTATATGATGATGGCGGTAAATTGGATTAAATACTGCACCTTTGTTTCTATTTAATAATTACGCGGACCCCTAAAGGAATATATATATATATATATATATATATATATATATATATATATATATATATATATATATATATATATATATATATATATATATATATATATATATATATATATATATATATTATTATTATTATTTTTTTTTCTCACATTATACTAAAAGTGCTTTAAATTTGGTCTAATTTTATGTCTTTACTTATGAGCGAAAATAGTAAGTGTTATTTTTTGCGTCAGGCCTTCTCTGCTGTCCTGACGCGTTTCTTCAGCCTGTTTTAGTCAATTTACTTGCATTTATATGAGGGACTAATATTTTTTCCCTGCCTTTTTTTTTTTTTTTAGAAATTAGGGTGAAATTAATGGCTTCATATTTAAACTTATTTATTTAAACTTTTTGTTGGATTTTATCTATTATATTCTATCATGTTATATTATATTTTTATTTCACACTTGATGTCTTTTATTATTTAATTACTTTTTCATGATATCTGTATAATATTCCTATAAGACTAAAAAAGTATGTTTGACTTAAATTGGATGAGAAATTATATTTTTTGTACAGTGGCGAAAACATGTTAAAAAAAAACTTTTAAATGATAAATGACAATAGTAATAGATAATAAAGATTAATCAACAGATCAAATTCAATTTATATTAAACATGCTGTTTTGTAAAATTTAAAGATGTATATTCATCCATTATTCAGTTTTTTTGGATTTCTTTATTTTAGATATATATCATTTTGAGTTGAATTAAAAAAGCACAATAAAAAAACAGTGAGTAAGTGAATACGATAAGCCTTATAAAAATCCCTATCTCAGTGAGCAAAGGACTGAACATCACATCAAATTCAGGTTTTTACCTGAAATCTAACAGTTCCATGAAAGAAGGATCAAATCAGAGACCAAACTGCCTGCATCTACTGAACCCTGCAGACCTCCTGCAGAAGCAGGCATATTGATTCCTGCAGCTTTAAAAAAAAAAAGAGCAGGGAAAGTTCATCTAAATTCTCTCCTTTATTGGAGGAATTAGGTTACCGTTGCCTAAAAGTCCATCTCGCACCACCAGTGAGGCACAGCAGGCGCAGCTTTGGTTCGCTCTGGGGTCAGTGGCAGTTACCTGGGGCTTCTTGGTGCCACAGCAGAAGATTTCAAAATAAATAGAGGTGCTCTTAAGTAGCAGGAGGGGTCTGTCTTATTGGCCCTCTGAGGTGACCTTGCACACTGGGCCATGCTGAGGAGAAAATGTGAAAAGTTCAGTGTGGTTGGTTTATAGGTCCTGTGTCTGAAGATCCCAGCCATAACAACGGATCAGTCTGTGGTTGACCGTGGTGATCGCAGGTTTATCAGTTTGACTAATTCTTTAAGTACCGCAGCCAATATGTCATGTGAGTCACCAGGGATGTGCTCCAGCTCCTCTTAAGCCAAAATAAAAACAACGTGACACTGACTGAGTTCGTCATCATGCTCCAAATAATGACCTGAACTCATTATAAGAGCTGTCAGTTCGAATGCGACTGAACATAGTCCAGCTCAACCAAACCCGAGCCTGAGAAAAAGCACAAACCTTACATCACTGTGCCCAAATCCACCCGCAGGTCTGACTTAATCTTCTGAAATGTCTTCAAACGTTGGCTCCCCACAAAAACACAAAAAAGAACCAGAGTTTGTTTTGCCCAAAAGCCCAAACTGTGCAGAGTTTATAAATGTCGTTTGAGTCTGCAGAACATTTGGCTCCAACAGATGGATTTTTAGAAAGTGAAAGCAGCTCTTTGGTGCTTTGAAAGCTTGCCTTTATTTTTGTTTGTTTGTCTTTTGTTCTTCCAGGAACCGAGCATTTCAGAGCAGCGCCAGGTTTTATCTTTCGGTCCCCTTGCTCTCATGTCATCTGGGTTAGTGCTAATGCACAGCATGGGTCACAGAAAAACGGGCTAAACAGAGAGCAAAGGAGCCAGCAAGAAGGATACGATGACATCCTGACAGTTTTTTTAAAAGATTCATCCTAAAAGCATCACCAGTTAAGAAAATATTTTATTTTTTAAGAAAACCTGGTTTGCATCATTCACCATTTCGCATAGTACAAGAAACTGATGCACTTTTCATTCATTCTGTCTAAATGTGCTAATTTCTGTAGTCAGAGCGATAAAATTTTGTAAAACAAACAGAAATATACTAAATAATTTACCCGATGGAACAGAGAGGAGGCTGTAAAGGCAGCCTCCTGGAGTCCTTAGGGCGGCAACTAATGAATATTCTACTGATTTATGGATCTGTCAATTATTTTTCAAACATCCATAAAAAATCAGACAGTTACAATTACTTGAGCAATATTTTTTAAAGAACTTATGGTATAAAGTTAGTTTTACTATACCATGCTTCTTACTTTTATGTGAATAATATTCTTGTGAGATATCACTACTCCAACTTGAGTAAAACTTCTTGCTATTCTGCTCAGTGTGAGTAACTGAGCTATTTAGAGGTGAAAATACCATCTAATTCCTGATTAATCAGAGAATTAGACTCTTAAAGAAATGTGAGTAAAATATCTGTCTTTGTCTTCAATCAGAAGCTTCTCCAGATCCGGTGTGAGACAGACTGCAACAGAAAAATCCTTTTTTTCTATAGCTATCAACTTCTATGACAATTTGTTGAAATGAGTTAACAGAACATTTAATTTCACTTTGGGATTCATACCGTAGCTTTGAATGTGACCGAATCACAAAAGTAAATATATATAGTAACTTAAAGCTTCAGTGGCCTTTAACTAGGAGTCTGTATTTTAGCTAGAAAAGAACTTACTTAGAGCGATAAAATAATGAAAATGTTGGTAAACACATCCGCAGAGTTAAACAATTAAGCATGGTGAAGGACGGTGTTGCTGTGGGCCTATTTCTCTTCTCAAAGGCCTTAGTCAACCTTGTCAGTGTGCTTAACAACCATGAAAATTGAAATAGAATAAGATGGAGTCTACTAGTAAATCAAAGTGTATAATGACAAGATTTTGGTTATGACTCAAAATTATGGAAGAAATTGTTCAAATCACAGGAAAAAAAGTGTTTCATTAAAATAACTAATTTAAAAGATGAGACGGCTCCTGCTCCAACCTAAGCCCTAAGAGGATTCACCAAGTAAATGAATGAACACAATCATGTAAATAATGAGATATTCTTTATTTAGCAAGGTTAAAAAAATAAATTAACTCCTTTTTCAGGGGTGACCTGACCAAGAGGGCAGCTAGAAGGTTACAGAAAGTAGCATAATTACACATTTGAATTAGAGATCGATCTAGTTATCAGATCTCATTCAGTTTTGCACATTGAGAAAATAAAAAGGTTTGTCTATTCTTCTTACAAAACAGCTGGAGCTCAGTGAGGTTGATTGGGGAGCATTTTTGAACAGATAAATAAAAAAAACTCAAGTGTGGGACGTGCAAAATAATTTGGCGCCTTTACTTTCATTGCAGTAAAACTCTTTCCAGAGGATCATTTAGGATCTCAGAATGATCCACTGTTGACCTTAATGACTGATGATGATAAATAGAATCATCCTGTGTGTTATCAAGTCTGTATATAAAAGCCGTTCTTTAAAGAAATCCATAAAAAGTCTTGTTTAAAGTTTGCCATAAGCCTCCTGGGAGACAGAGCAAACATATTGAAGAAGATGATCTGGTCAGATGAGAAGAACAATGCAGAAGTTATGTTTGCTGTAAAAGCAACACATCTCATCACCCTGAACACACCATCCCCACGGTCAAACATAGTGGTGGCAGCATCATGGCTTGGGCCTGCTTTTTTTCAGCAGGGACAGGGAAGATGGTTAAAATTGATGCAAAGATGGATGGAGCCAAATACAGGAAGAAAAACCTGTTGGAGATTGCAAAAGACCTGCGACTGGGACAGGGATTTTTTTTCAAAACAAAACTCTATTTATGGAGCCGTGTTTGAAATAGGCCATTTTGTTGCGTTACTTGCAACTAGAGGGAGGCTCTGGATCAGAATATTCAACTACAGATACTCAAAATGTTTGGCGTGTTTGTTTTGTACCTGAAAATATAAATAGAGTTCAACCTTGGAATCCTTCCACATTTTTCACTGCTGAGCGCCAGGCAGGAGCATCGTGTACAACAAACCCCCAACATCTGCAACACGACTGAGCCTGAATTACCTGTGAACTAAGAACCCAATCATATGTGCTGTCAGAAGGGGGATGGCCAGTCATGGAAAGAAGGTGGTGGGGGGTCCAGGATGGACTGGATTGTGGTCGCAGGCCATGAAACACAATGATGAAGGCCTTTCTAGATGACCAGCAGAGGAGAGAAAAGGGCTTACTGCAGGAACAACAAAACCTTAGGGTGTCGCTTCAACCTGCAGGTTGCCTGCAGCCTCCTGTTCAAGCTCTGCCTCCTGCATCGTTGGCATCAACTCCCCACACCGATCCAGCTAGTAGCCCATGACTATTGCGGCTTAATCCTGCAGTCCGTCAATGTGATGGGGTTAAATCTACACCCTTAGTGGGTGCTGGCTTTTGGCTAAACCAGCTAAGACCCGATAAGACATCCATACCAGGTGGGAGAGGGGAGTAAGAATTATCCGTTAAAATTAGAGAGAATAGCAAAGACCTGGATATGACCGGAGGCTGAGTGGCCCTATAGACTAGTTCCACTTCTTTCAAGGCTCTCAATGCCTACACCGCCATGGATAAAGACAGAGCCCATTCTTATAAAGACCTGAAAATGGCCTAATTGGTTACATTTGACGTATCATCTGAGGCTTATTGTCAAAAGTTCTGCTATGCATCCCTGCCACATTGGGAAGCACTCACTGAAACCTACCACCGCTTCAAGGGACAGTATCGATGTTGGATCCAGCGGGAGCAGAGGACCGAAGAGGACTATCATCTTGGAACAGCTTCTTTTTGTCCTGTCGCCCAAAGTGAGAAAATTAGTAGAAGATGGACTAAAAAAAATGGCCCTCCAGTACCTTAATGCTCAGAGAGGGGGACCTACTGCACGACCCAACACATCAAACCAACCCTCAACAATGGTTCATCCAGCCGCAGACTTTCACCAACCGATCGCATCCATCATTAGTAATTTTATTTGCACAAATAGTTTCATTAATGTGTTGCCTCTTTGTTTATTAAGAATGTGACATAAATGGAATTAATCCAGTATCAGTAAGAACAAAAAACAAGCAGGTTTTTGAGAAAATCCTAACATTTATTAGAAGGTTATCTTGAAGAATCTCTGCTTTGATTCATCAATAACAGATGTGGATAAAATATTAATTAATATAACACTAAACAGAAAGGGCATAAAAAATAATAACATAGGTCTTAGAACAATACAGAATCACTAGAAATACTTTAAGAAAAAAAAATGAATCGTTATTGTCAATCAATGAAATTCAAATCAAAGAAACTGTACAAAGCAAAGTATTTCTGCTGTGGCCCAAATTCTATTTTTCATAATTTTTTTCAATATAGTGTTTTTTTTTTACATTTTAGTTTTTCTACTTTTTTTTTTTACAGATTTTATATTTCAATATATATTTGTGAATTTTTCAATTTACGGGTTTAATATTTTTACTTTTTTATGTTTCAAATTTCTGTTTTTAGATTGAATTTTACAAATTGTATTCTTTCAAAATTGTTCTTCACAGATCATATTCTCTTTACGTCAAGCTTAATAAAAAGGCTCGCTCTTGATCAATACAACTGCTGTTGCTAACATCCTGCAGACCAATAGAAATGCGTCTTCGCTCCTCACCACAGAGGAAAGTCAGCAACCAGAAGTGACAAGAATGTGATCTATGAAACACAATATGAAAAGAATGAAACTCAAAAAACTCAATAAAAAAAAAAACAGGAATAAAAAAAGAAATTACATTTGAAAGAAATTACATTTGAAAATATAAAATCAGTTAAAAACTTGCCATAAAAACTAAAATAATAAAAAAAATTAAAAATTAAAATCTCAAAATTTATTTTGGATTAAAACATTTTTCACAGTTTAATTTCTGGGTTAAATTTTCGTTTTTAAATTTTTGTTTACATGACATGTTCTTTGCCTGCAACAATAATGGAACAAAATTCCCCCCATACTCCCCCTGATAAAAGACAGAGCTCTTATGTTTCAAAACAGAACCACCACATCTCCGGCGTGTGCCGCTAAGCGAGATAAAAATCCTCTCCAGCCTCCAGTTGAATCCCACCCTGCAGACACGCTTAACTGAAACACTGAAGGAAAATAAGCAGGCGGGCACGCATTTCCTGCCAGGGAGCCACTCCTAAGAGCTCACTATTTGTTTTGAAGTTCATTAACTTATGATTTTTCAGGCAGCAGGGTGGCGAGGAAGTCAAACGCCCCGAGGTGAGCCTCTCTACAGCAACGCAGCATGAGATAAATACAAAAAACAAAAAAAAAAACAATATTGATCCACCAGGCTTCAAATTCACATTTGGTCGGCCGGAATACAAATCAAACCCAGACAAAGTTTTATCAAATTTTATTCTCAAGAAATTAATGAAAAAAGTATTTTATTTTTCCTCTAAAGGTTTTGCAGTCAATATTTATAAAACATCCGGGAAACAAAAATTAAGAACAGTTCAGTGTTGGGAAATGCAGGAAACCTTCAGGTACTAAAGATCCTGGTTCCTATTTCCTTCCACAGTGAAGCGAGTAATTTCCCAGAGCTTTGTGGCTTCGCTCCATGTGTTTTGATGCGAGCTGGCTGCCTTCAAGTCCAAGCACTGATAGCTCTGGAAACGCCTCGAGATATTTGGGTTGCTCCAGGTCCTGTCCGTCTTCATTTTTTAGGAGGCCCACTTACTTTCTGTGTAGTTAGGGGGAAAAAAAAGACTCTTGTAAGAGCAAAATCTGAATAAACGGCGATTTTCTACTAATTTATTGGTATATATAATAGAATCATCTATAATCCTAACATCTGTCATTATTAGAAAGTAGAAAGGAGGTTATTTTATTTTATTCTTTTTTTTTTGCTATTTACTTGCAGTCTTTCTCTCTTCTTGCCTCCCCCCCAGCCGCCATCCAGTTGGACGGGGTTGAAAGAGATGTGCTCCTTTTTTCCAACAGGAGAGGTGACTTGTTTAAGGGGAACAGCTTCTTTAGCTGCAGAAAATCGGGTAAAGAATGAATCAATATTTCACATAAAAACTTAATACAAATCGTTCAACTCCAGATTTTAGGGATGACTCAAATGGATCGCTATCTTTTTTTAATGGGTGTTTTCAAAATTAAAAATGAATTAATCAGATAAAAATTAGTTATGTGAACACTATAATCTAAAGAAGCTTTAAGATATAACAGAATCTGACAGCAAAGTGAACTCAGGTAAGATTGATGTTTAGAGTTATTTAGCGAAGGATCTATATGAAGCTTTTCATAAACACGACAAAGGAAGAGTCTTTTTGACAGTGTATGATGTGTTCCACGTGCAGAGCTCAGGTCTCCACAGTTTCTTTGCACACGGAGACAAACATTTGGGGAAAGTTAGGGTCAAACTTAGGCGGGGAGGGGGGTATGTCGGATACATTGCAAGCATTGATCCAACTCTAAACGCAGGAACGTAGTCTAAAATGCCAATCTGCTCACAAATCAAACCCAATAAAACCTATTTAACTTTGGACCATGTTTGGGTTGGTTTGGTGGTCGTAGTCTTCATGTCTTGTTGAAAATGGTTTGAAGGAAAACCAACGGGCTCCTCTGAGTTTAAAACCTGGCAACAGTAAGTTTACTTAGGGTTCTTTCTTACAGAGCATCGTTGTATCAATTTATGTCTTTAAATCTTAAAGTCTTATAAAATGTTGCTGTTACTAAAAGTTAGCTTTGAATGAGCTAATATCTATCTTATGTTTACAGTATGGTGGTTCTGGTTGATAACAAACTAATATTAAATTAATACTAATAAAAAACTAATATAAAATTGTTAAACTGATCCCGAACAACTAGCTCAGACTGAAGGTGTTGCTTTATCATGATCAAATAAAGCTTTATACTTGAAGAATTAGAAAGTCCATTTTGAGCCTAAATAGAATTTCAGCACCAGGTGCAATGAGCTGACATGGCAGCACCATCTGCCGGCAGTACCGTGGTGCTACCAGAAAGCTACAGGCAGATAAGTAAATAGAGCCCAACAGTCCTGTAACATCTGTCCTGCAAGTGACAGATATTAATTAGACAAAATGATCTACAAAAACTCTAAGTTCTAATAAATCTTCCCCAGAATCTCCAATCGGAGCATCAAGGAAAAGGAAATTTCCTCTTCCGAAAAAACACAAAAAAGGTCACAGCATCAAACTAAGAACCAATCAGTCAATTATCATATTGATTTACAGACTAATATTTGTTGCTGTAACTAGCATCAGTATTATTAAGGACCTTTACTCCTTGATTACTGCAACGGTGTTTTCACAGGTCTGCCTAAAAGTGGATCAAACAGCTGCAGCTGATCCAGAACGCTGCTGCCCGTGTCCTCACTAAGACTAAGAAAGTAGAGCACATCACCCCAGTTCTAAAATCCTTCCACTGGCTCCCTGTATCTCAGAGAATAGACTTTAAAATCCTTCTGTTAGTCTATAAATCTCTGAATGGCTTAGCACCTAAATACATCACAGACTTGCTATCAGTGGATCAACCCTCCAGACCACTCAGGTCTTCTGGCTCCAGCCTGCTCTGCATACCTAGAACCAGAACTAAACATGGAGAAGCAGCATTTAGTTCCTATGCTCCACTTATCTGGAACAAACTTCCAGGAAACTGTAAAAGTGCAGAAAGCCTGAGTTCCTTTAAATCAAGACTAAAAACACATTTGTTTAGGATCGCCTTCGACTGTTCTAGTTAAACAGTTCAACTAAAACATAATTTCTTTAATCCAACTGTTTTTAATATTCTTTTTTGTTTTTGCGTTTTTTATTTTATTTTATTTATTTTTTTATTTTCTCCTACTTGCTTTGATTCTGTTTTATCTTCCTGTATTTTAATCATGTAAAGTATTTTGCATTGTCTTTGTACTGAATTGTGCTATAAAAATAAATTTGCCTTGCCTTGCCTTGCCTTTACTCAAACATCCATCAACTTAGCAGCTACATCAGAACGCCTGAGCAGCTTTAGCGTCTGCTTCAGTGAAAAACGGCGTCCAGACTGGATTCCCAGAGCTGCTCTAGTCTTTTTCCTCTTGGTATCATCTTTATTTTCACACTGGACTTTGTGCTTTTCTTTATTATTTCCACCCCGACTTGGGAGGTGCTAACTAGCTTAGCCTCAGTAGCTTCCTTGTTTTCCCCGTGCACATATGCGCAGCTCCTTTGTAAATAAAGTCCTTCATTTATGTTTACAATAACAAAGAAATGGATCAAGAAAGTGTAAAATACAGCGACGACACAGCAGGGGTATTAGGCTATATGTAATCTTTCAGAATAACAGCAAAACTTTCTATGCAATCAGATTAAATTACTAATGCCGCTAGATAAAAATAATGCTGCGTCAAAGCTGATGGTATTTTCAAGCACAGTTTATGAATTATTTTGGAAAACTGAAAAACTTCTTCAACAATCAAACTGAAGGAGAGACTTTCTATCTGTGCCATTTGAGCTGCTGTAGGCCTTTTTTAGACTTCTCTGCTTCAGGCACGAAAGGAGATTAAGCTTCATTGATAGCAGCTGAGCCAGCAGCCATTAAATTGATGATGTTCAAAACAAAACATTAAGTTTTTCTCTTACTTTTCGCCCAGAGTCATCTAATTAGAATTAATTAATCCACGATATGTTCCTAATCTCATTATCAAGCTGGCTGTTTAAAACAAATGAAACATTTAAGGCAAGACTATCAGAAAAAAACTAGCAGCCATATTTTCAGACCACTTTCTAAAGAAAATGTTTTTTGTTGTTTTATTTAGAAGTACATCTACATTAAATGTAGGAGCAAATTGACGCAGACCTTATAAAATTCCAGCTGGGAAAAAATTATTTGTCAGGAAAATAGGTAGAAATACGACCAGAATCCTTCAGAGGGAATTTGCTGACAATTTACTAACATCTACAGACATTAAAAAGGCATTGAGTTGAGTGCAAAATGGGGGACAGAAAGTCTTAATAGCAGCAATGAAACCTAAAAGATTTCCTCTGCATGTGGAATGAAAATATGTAAGTTGACAGAAACAGGACCGACTCCGCGAGGATCGCATTGCAGCAGGTTACACACAAGGTTTCACAGTATTTACTTAGTTTCACTGGTTGAACGTTTTTAGATTTTAACTTTCAGCTTATTTATTTTTTATTTTTTGCTTTAGAACCAAAAGGCTATATAACGTTTTGGTAAATAAAGTGTGTTTACGTGAGTTTAGTGTTTCTTGTAGATTTAATATGTACATTCACCTCACAGAAACTGCTTTCCTGTTTCCACCCAGCCTGATTTCTTTTACGTTTCCCCTGATATGTAGGTTTACTGACACACTGAGACCATTTCATGCCCTTTTTCAAGTTTATGAAATAAGTAATTGGTTTTTTAGAAACACATACATTCATATTTCAATTTACCCATGACAGGTTTTGTTAAAGTGTTTTTTTTTCATTGGTTCCGACAGAGAGGCTTTCTTTCATTCCTACGGGGAACAACAGCTCTGTCTGCATAGCACGCTGCTGCACCTCGTGCGTTTCATTCTGAAATCATCATCCGAATTCAATTTGGCTTCATTAAAGGGGACAGGCTCGTCCTTCATTTGAATTCCTGGGCTTGTTTAAAGTGGTCATCTGCTGTCAGTCTGTCAGTAGCATCTTTGTCGCTCCAAGTCCTGAGCTCTCGTTTGTCTTGAAATAAGGACTAATCATTCCTCACTGAAGGGGCTGTTTTCTCTCTCTGCCCACTTCCTCTCAGGACAGATTTCACGGCAGCCTGTCCCCATTCCGACCTTGGGCCCCCCACCACATACATGTAAAAAACTGCAGAGTTGCACTGTTGAATTTAGCCTGCTGCTTTATAACCTTTAATCTAAAGGAGCAGTTTTATTTAAAACACACGTACAAAAACGACTCTCGGCGCACATTTTGCTTGATGTGCAGATTTAATACTATGTGGCCCCCAAAGCATTAATGCATGCATGGGCGGTTCTAGAAAGGGGGCCAACAGGGGCCAGTGGCCCTGTAGAGCTGGTCCCTGGAACGGCCCCTGTACTAAAATCATAAACTATAGATATTGAAATAAAAGTAAGTCAAGGTTTCTTGAAAGAAGCCTATTTTTCCTAGATACAAGGAGGTAAGTTAGACAATTAATTTAGATGAATTACCTTTAAATATGAAAATAAAAACAACTCAATTATCTAATTTCATGTGCATAAAATCCTCGTTCCTTTGGCAGACAATCACATTTATCTGCTAAAAGTAAAGGCAAACATGCTTATTTTAAGAAATGTGTACTTTTATAGATCAGTTTTTGCAGTATAACACTCATACATCTCTCAGATATGAACTGACAGAAAAGTCCAAAGTCTTACTAAGATAGGATCACAGTTTTTGTCTGTTTGATCAGGCAAAAATTTGAAATCTAGAAAAGGAATTTTTTCTTAAACTAAGTGCATTTTTTTTTTCTTTAACAGAGGAGGTGAGACACTTTGCCAATGGAACAAGACAATTTATATTTGCAATTTAAAAACAACTGCATTGCCCAAATTGAAGTGCATATCATCTAGTTGTCTTATTTTAAGAGTAAACATGCAAATCATCTTATTCACCAACTCAAATTAAGGGTAAATGCAGTTCATTTAAGTTATTTTTTACTTATTTCTAGATTGTTTTTGCAGGGCATGGCTCATACACTAGAAAATGCATTCTTAGGCTGTTCTCTGGACTCAGTGGAAGAAGTGGCTGAGAGGAGGGTGCTGTCCAAGCTTGTGTCCATCATGGACAACACCTTTCATCCTCTGTACCAGACTGTAGAGGAGCTGAGCAGCTCCTTTAGTGAAAGACTTTTACCCCCCGTTTGTAAAAAGAAGCGCTACTGCAGGTCATTCATCCCTGCTGCAACCAGACTTTACAATGTGTCAATACAACAGCAATAACTTGTGCAATGTATAATATGCAATTTACTATTTGATTCCCTATGCAATAACCTGTTACTCTATATTTGACACCCAGTGCAACAACTATAAATATAAATATCCATCTATACACCCTATGAAATATCCATGTATAATGATTGTACTAAAAAAATAATTAATAAAAAAACCCTATGTGAAAGCACTGTATATATTGCATATATCCAATGCACCTTTTTCTTCGCTTGGCACATTCTTCTTCTTTGACTATTTGAGCTGATGTAACGAGTAAATTTCTCCACTGGGAGATCAATAAAGTCAATCAATCATCAGTTCTTGACTTATTTGGTTGTTTCCTTGTGTTCTGTGGCCCCATGAGAACCACCCTGGTAAATTTCCTCTAAACCACCACTATCTCCACACTCCTTCTCTGCTCTGTTGCTTTTTATGCCGCTGTAGACTCTTTTCAATGTACTTCATAATAAAAGGATAGAAATAAGCACTTTTAGTGCCATATCTATTTCCAGATTGTCTTCTTTCATTTTTATAAAATATATTTTTTATCACTTTTGGAACATAAAGAATATGTAAAGCTCACTACTACGATGTTATGTTTATATTTTTTAAATCTAACCATGTATTTTTTGCCTCTAGACAAAGTCCTTAAAGCTAAAAGCTCAGTAAATATTTGGTACTAATGGCATAAATGGGGCTTTTCCAGCCATAATTCATGGCATGCACTGAACTTGTGTAAATTATTACAAATCTGCCCAGCGTGAAACAGCAGCCAACTCTGGCTGCTTAGTACATAATATATCTGCCAAACATTGGCTCTATTACCTTTGACTTCACCATTCCTGCTTTCTTTGATGTTTCACTTGAGTTAAAGTGACTAAAATCAGCATTTACTAAAACAAAAATCATCCTAGAAGCGTTTGTTACTGTGGTACTGTGCATAAAGAAAATAGGGATTCTGATCTGTCCACAGTATAAATCTCACACAGGCCTTCTAGTTTTTAATGATCACTGCAGTTGTGGGGCAGGAGTACAAGGTTGGGAGTTTTATGATGCATCTGCTTTGAAATAAATCCTTTAACTCATCACTGGCAAAAGTAATGATGAAGAGTTCCCTCTGACACATCATGAATAAGAAAAATATGTTCTAGACTAACTTGCATGAGTCGAGTTGCTTCTGCAGGGATAGGTGTTCACTTTGCTAAGCTGGGCAGTCACACACAGTCCTGCAGCGCTGGAATGATCCCCGGATGACAGGTCAGCCTGCAAACAGTGTAAAGGTTCACAACCAACAAAAAAAAAAAAAAACAAGAAATGTCAAACTTTAGAAAAAACTAGAAGGCAAACTTTTTCAGCACAAGTTAGGAAGTTTGTCTCTATTTCTGAACTAAAAGGAGGATGAAAAAATACCCACCAGGAGCTGAACTCTACCTCTGCTCAGACCGGTGGAGTTTATCTGTGGTAAATGAGGTCCTCTTAGGATAAAAAGGAAGAAAATATTCAACTTTTAATCAGATTGTTGTGAAAACTTCTGACTACAGCAGCAGGACAGAAACAACATCAATAAGAAAGATCACATTTTTCAAAATACTTTAACATCCAAGTCCAGGGAAATTAAATGTCATTTAGAGATGCAAAAATTACATGACCTGTTAAGAAGAAACATCTTATTATTTTAGTTAAAAATATGCTGTAGGAAATCTGTTCCCATTTAAACCAACAAACGGGTAATTTGTATCTTTATAGATGAAAAACAGAAAACATTTCATAAAAATGAAGACTTAGTTTGTTTCTAAGGGTTAAATAAAAAGAAACAAGGAAGAAAAAAAATATACCTGTACCTAAAATAATACTTTTAATGTTGTTTTATTGTGAAAATTAAATTCAAATTTTCTTTATAAATCCTGCTAAAGCTTCTTGAACTGTTATTTGTTAAAATTCTATATTCTGAACCATTAGCTGGCTCTTTATCATTTTTAAGGAATCTTAAGAGCCACAGCGGAGGGTCCAAAGAGACACTTGTGGCTCCGGAGCCACAGGCTGCAGACCCCTGCTCTAGATAATAACATTAAATTGAAACAGGAAATACAAATTATAAAACAGAAATGCTTCAGTTAGATTTTTATAAAATCCCTTAGGGACACAAATGAGTAAAGCACCAGAGATTTGATAGAACATGTTCAGATTATGCTGCTGCATTCAGCAAAACTGAAACCTTGAGGCGTTTTACAGGTATTTTCCCACCGACATGAAGCCCCTCACCTCTGTGAAGCAGCCGGCGCCTTCAGCTCCTCCTCAGCCTGTTGCCTCCTCATCCTCTCTGTTCGCTCCGCCTGCGGATGACCAATCTGGGCCTCTCCGACTACAGATCCCAGAAAATAAAAGTTTTTGTTTCGGTTCCTTCAGTGATACAGACAGAGAAGGTTTATCCACACAGGCTTAGATTGAGCTTTCTGTGGTTTGTCAGGTCGGTTTATTTGCTCTGAGGACTCTGAGGCGTTATGTGATGTATTGAATATGTCCGAATGATTCTCCTTCTGTTTTCTAACATCAAAGCAAAGTGTCACACAGAAATCTGAAAGGCTGCTCATTTACGATTTCTGCTGAAAGCCTAAAACAAGGCGGTAATTCACAGTAAACATTTATGCCGCAGTGACAGTAAAGCTGCTGCGTAGGGCTGTAAACCCATAATGAATTTTGACAGTCGGGTGCTGCAACTAATGACGCATTTATTTAAGCCATTTGCTCGCTTTTGTGGAGCTGTAAAAAGAAGAGAAAGGCTTTACAGTTTTCATGGGTTAATTGAAAGGCCCCAGTAAAAATGTCCAGTGATGGATGCCTCCCCCCGGGGCAACAAAGACCAGGAAATAGCTTTACGCACTTCTAAAAGTACTCAGCTTCTTTTTTTCTTTTTTTTTTTGCAGCCGTTTTCTCTTACACTGGATATTTAAAGTAATAAAGTTATTAGAAATAAGTCACTGAATGATTTAGATGTTAAATTATCACATGTTTCTATAGAAAGCCACAGTGGCTGTGATTCTCAGCTTGTGAGCAATCTGTGATGAAGTCTGTGACAGAAAGTCTGCACTAATGCCCCCCTCCTGTAGCTTGTTACCCCCTACCCTGAGCTCCCACTCTTTTGCTTCTCCCTAAAGAAGCCCCGAAGCGCCTTCTTGACCTCCTCCAACCTCCTGGATCCTCCTCCAGCTCCCCTGCAGGACATCTAGACAGAGCCAGAAGGAGTCACGCCGATTTAAGGGGGCTCTTAAGCACATTAAGTGATCTGGTGTCTACTAAAAAGGAAAGAACTGTGAATCAAAAAGCTGGTGAAAAGGAGGTTAGAGGCTTTGCCCATCCCCCCCAAGCTAAATTAAGATGATTAGGTCACCGGTTGGATACAACGAGCCTTTTGCAATTTATCCCTCCAGCTGTAACAGAAGTAGTTCGGGTACTGACAGCAGAAATCAGCCTGTTTTTCAAACACAATCTGATTATTTTCTCTTAATTTGCTCTGATTAGACAGTAAAACATTAATTTATTCATTTTTTTAAAGAAATTATGATAATTTATATAATCAAACTTAACTGATTTTTTCCACTTTTATAAAATGGATAAAAAAAAATGTTTCTCCAATTTTTGTCAATAAACACATCTGCTTACAGCATGCAGTAGTCCACATTTGGTTTATCTTGACAGAAATATGAAAAAAGTTGAGGATTATTTTGGAGCACTGCCTCCTTGCAAATATTATTTTCTCCTAAACTGTTTTAAAGGTCATAAAGTTTTGGAGAAAAAAACAACAAACCACCATCTATTGGGCTCAGCATTTCTTCAACTGGATCTGCCAGTGAATAAAAGGGATTTTTGTCCTTGTAAATAGCAGCAAATAAAATACTGCAAGAGCTTATCAAATTGTTCTGGTTGTCATTTTAAAAAATAGCCAAATAAAAAAAAAATATTTGATGTATTTAGATCTCTAAAATAAATACAGTCAGACATTTAAAAAAAATACTAATTCTAGTCCAGGTTTTCATAAAAATAATCAGAATTCCAAATTATTTAGATCTAATGCTAACCTAACAAAGACACACAACAGATTCCGACATTTGATCAATGAAACTAAAAAAATGACAAAACATAAAATGAGCGTTTAAACTAAACACTAAACTGCTGCCTTCAGACTATCTAAGATGGATAATAAAGCTTGATTAATGTTAAAATGTTAGCAGCCTCACTGTTGGTAATCTTAAACAATCACTGCAAAAATAGAAAAGTGTGCAAAACTGTAAAGTTTAAGGTAACAAACCTTTGCAATTTTGAGTTTAGGACTCAAACTAAATCATTGAAGTTTTGCTTTTCCGTTTGCCAAACTTTGACTTCCATGTTATTGTAACTTGGAACGCTGATGTGATAGAAGTGGTGACTTTAAAAGGATGAACCTACTAATTAAGAGCCTATTCCCTCTCAGTGAGGAAATATTATTGTTATTGAACCCTTCTTGTTTCAGGGACAGTTTGAGTTTTGAACTTCCAAGGACTAAATGCTCTAATCTCTAACCAATACCCAGGACCTGTAACTTTAGACCTAAATAAGAAGCTTTACTGTCACTGAGCAGAAGGTCAATGCTATTTGAATGACAGCTTATCTTCAGCAGCAGTTTGTATTGTTTAAACTGCAAATTAAAGGAAAACTATAAGCCTTCAACTCGAAGCAAAATGCAAAAGTTGTTTTTTCCTACATTTTACAACAAGAAGTTGAACTTTCACCTGTTGAAATAACCAGAAACTTAAAGGTATAAATTCTGGCAACTCATTCAGTAACTACTTTGGCTTTCTGGACCATTGTAATTATTGTCCCTATATTAACATGCTTTCAAGTTTATACAATTAAATATAATGTTCAGACTAAAAAAGGAGGTTTTTGTTTAACTGATAGCTAGTTACAGTTACTTGACTAAACTTTTTTTGTTATCAATTTACTTTTAGGAGTAGTTTTACCACATTGTGTTTTCAACTTGAGTCAAAAATATGATGAAGTACCACTACTTTTACTCCAGTAAAGTTTCAAGCTACTCTAAAATGAACAGTTTGTTTTAAACAAAAATGCACCTGAGAGACACACCTATTGCTTTATGTTTCGGTGAGACTTTTTTGGATATCCAGACTTTATTATTTTATTGTTATTTTCTACCTACTGATCCTTCTGTGTCATTTGAAGGTCAAGTGAAAATATAGTAAACAGTGAACTGTTTCTTTATACTGGAACTAACTTAGACAGTCTTCAAAACATCCATAAAAAGCCCTTTTTCTGTTGAAGGTTTCCTCATAATAAAGAGGTTTGCCTTCATTGGCCAGAATGTAAAGGAGGCTGCAGATTTGGAGATGACACAATCAGTATATATATGTGTATTTTAAGCTGCTCTTTAAGACAAACTAGTTCCTTTCTTCTATTTTATGTAGCTCACTCGTCTCTGTGTACTGCCAGGATAGCTTTGTTGTACTTTTGACAATCACAACAAAAGATATTCAACTATATTCTTCTTTGGATGATAAGGGTTGGCAAGTAAACAGCAACACCTCATGAAAACTGTCAAACCCGGTGGTGGTTGACCGATTATTTGGGTTTCTCTGCAGCCACAGAACCAGTAGGTATTGACAACCTGACAAAGTAGCACTATGACAGATCTCTAAGTCTCTATATTAGGTTTCTATAAAGCCATTGGTGCACATTGATGCTCCCTGCTGGCCTCCTATGGAGTCAATTTTGTGCAATTATTGTTGCAAGCACTGAAAACATTTTGTAAATGGAAAAAAAAAAAATAAGACAGAAATTATACTTTAAAAAAGTCCTAACAAGAAAGGTTTAGGTAGAGTAACTTTTTTTAAACAAACATATTTTTCTTAGATACGTTTTGCAACTTGCATTCTACTCAACTTGCATTTACAGATCACATTCTTTCCTACAAACCCAATACACTCACTCATTCACTAATAAAAAGTAGTTACTACATAGAAACGTGTCTTCCCTCCTATCTCCAGAGGAAAGCCGCCCCCAGAATTGAAGAAAATTTGATATTTAAAACACAATTTAAAAAAATAATGCAATTCATAAAACTCATTCTGAAAATGACAAACTTTAAAAAATGCGAATTTTTTTTTTTATCTTAGAAAACAGCACAGGTACTATCTAAACTTAAAATATCTTCAAGTTTAAATTGGACTGTATTTTTAAAATTATTTTAATTTACAAAAAAAAATCATTGCATACAACAATAATGGAACAAAATTCACTCCATACTATCCTTCACCAAATTCACCTATGTAACTTTAGAGGGTCGCATCCATATAGTTTTTGAGGCTAAGAGTCAAGTAAGATGATTGATATGTCGCTAGGCAACATCTCAGACTCTTACTTGACCACACATATTTATGGTCCTCTGATATAGGATTTAATCTAAAAGCGTGAATTTGACCTTTTATTTATTTATTTTTTATTTTTTCTCAAGCTGCTGGCCGTAAGCATTCAATAAAATCAGACGTGAAGAAAAAAACAAACTTTAATAAACTGAATCTAATAATGACCAATGTATCACAAATTATAAGCATATCTTATCTTATTTTACATATTTAAAAGTCTTTTTATATATTTGTCAGGATGTTTATAGTTTTAAACAATGTTTTTTTTCTGACAGTTATTTTATTATTTATGCTTTAAAAGCTTAATTGAAAATGTCAAGGCAAAAGTCTGGGGTTGTAACTTGAGAAATTGTGTAAACATTAAAACTCTTTTGTTTCCATTTTCTTTTATTCAGTTCTACTCTAAAAACAACACAGTTCTGACTAAAATACCTTTCAACCTCCATACTCCAGAACTGTTTACCAATCCTCCTTTTTATCCTGACTATAACTGAGACAAACCAGAAAAGCATGACCCTCTGACTACATCTAAAAACCTAAATGTGGTCTGCATATAAACCCCTTTTAATTAAGGAGTTTCAGAGTGCATTACAGCAGCATTTATTTCATGGCATGTGCAAAGTGGAGGACGAATTAGAGCATGTCTGAGACTTGACTGACTCAGTGTTTTTAGTTGGATGTCAGTCTGTTAGCGGCTCCGGCTGCTCGAACCGCTCTGCATGCCTCCAAAGTGTGCCAACAGTTCTTAAACATAGAGCGAGAGGAGAACACTTTGCTCTATAGAAGTTCATGAACTAAATGCACATGAGAGGCAGTAAATGTTATAAGATTGAGGCATTTTGGAGGAGCGGAGATAAACACAGCGGTTGAGTTTCAGTTTGACTTTGTTGATGACATGAAGTGTGAAACTGAGTTAAGTGTTCAAGAGGCAGGGGTTCCGGGCTGAAATAAAAACACAGATCTGTTGAGTCCCTGTGACTCGAGGACAGATGTTTGATGGGGTTGTAGTTTGGATGAAAGAGGGAGGCTGGGACGGGGTGGAAGTATGTGCCTGCAGGCGATGAGGGGAAAGTAAGAGTAGAAACCCTTTAGAGGCTTAAACTTCTCCATCAAATGAAGCGTTCACACAGAGAGAATCGTTCAATAAAACAAAGTAAACGTATATTTGGTTTTTCTGCTCTTAAAAGATTTCTCAAGGCCTTGTACCATCCTCTCTCTCTATGGCCCTCGTAGCACATGTAAGCTGATACCCATTTCAAGTGGGTTGCTCATGTCCAGAACATCCACACAAAGAGCCTGGATAAAATAAACATGCCGCGTCAGATATCTTGGAAAGAATCTGTCATGGGTTTTGGGCTAATCACCTCCAGAAGGGGCTTGAGTCAAAACCTGAAACGTTAGCCCCTGACGAGGAGCGCTGGCTGAGCCTGGCTGGGTTGGGCTGCCGAGGCCCCGGGCACTAGGGAAGGATCCGGAGCAGGAGGGGGGTGCCTTCCACGGGTCAGGAGCAGAGGAGTGGAAGCCGCACTGCCTCTATAGCATGGCTTCACTGTCATCTCGTAAAAAAGCGGCAGGTGTCGTCTCTTCTAGATCAGTTACAGTCTTTACTGGACTCCACTCAGTCGGACCAGAACGTTGACTGACAGGACCGTTTTAATCACAGGGTGACCTCCTGGACATGAACCCTTTGGTAAAAGACCAACTAATGTAGCTGTTGAATTCATGCCTGAAAACTCCAGCTCTGGTTGATGGCTTAAGTAAACAAGGGTGGAGAGGACAGATAACAGCTGGGAATATTGTGATGAAATAAGTCATTCAGATAGAAATACTCTTCTGCTGCCAGCTGGCTGAAAGCTTATCAACAGAGGTGTTGTACTCAGATTAGATTCCAGTGTCAGCAATGGGAAGTGGATATAGCTCAACCAAGGTTCAAGCTATAGACAATATGAGGCTAGCAAAGCAAAGCTCACAGCAATAGAGCATACATGAAAAGTCCCTTTAGAGGCTGGTTAGGCAGAGTATGAGGATATTTTAAACAAAAGATGGGAAGTTTACTTCTTTGAAGACCACCTAGCTTGGCTGCTGCAATAAACAAACTCATGTTGCTGCACCCACAAATTTCAAAGATTAGGGTTTTCTAGATTTGAAAACAGGAACCAGTTCAGGATGGGAAATCTACAAACCTTTGGTATTCTACGGAGAGAGTTTTGTGCCATAATTGTTGTGAGCAAAGAACACATGCGAATTTGAATAAAATGGCATCCAACTTTAAAAAAATAATGTTGATTAAACAAAATTTTTAAGAGTAAATTTGCTGTTTTCTCAGATTTTATTCAACTTTTAATTTATTTTCATATTTCATATTTTCAATTCGTTATTTTTTTTTCGGTCATTTTTTACCTCTAATTTCTGTTTATGAGATTTAGTTTGGGGTTCTCTTTTTGGGGTTCTCTTTCCTCTGGACAAAGGACCAAAGATGCATTTATGTGTTTCTGGATGGATCTTAGCAACAACGTTCGTACTGGTCAATGTTTTTCAGATTATAGTTCTCAAATTGTATTTTTCAAACATTTTTCTTGCAGATTTCATATTTGTTATTTTTCTTATTCCAAATCTAATTTCTTTAAACTTTTTCCATATTGAATTTACATTTTCAACTTTTATTTAATTTCTGTTTTTCAGATTGGGTAATACAAATAGCTTTTTCTCTAATACAAATGCTCACTCCTGACACACATTGACCAATGAAACTGTTCTTGCTAACGTCCATCCACACCAAAACACCGGTACCAATCCTCTGATGGCTACTTCCAACAGGATAACATGCCATGTCATAAAGGGCGAACCATCTCAGACTTCCTTGAACATGAAAATAACTTCACTGTAATCTAAGGGCCTACACAGTCATCAGATCTCAATCCAATAGAGCTCCTTTGAGGTGTGGTGGAAAGGTAGATTTGCGTCATGGATGTAAAGCTGACAAATCTGAAGAATCTGCGTGATGCTATCATGTCAATAAGGACCAATCTCTCTAGAGGAATGCTTCCAGTGTCTATACCACGAAGAATAAAGGCAGTTTTGAAAGCAAAAGGGGGCACAATCTGGTACTAGCACTACCCAATAAAGTGTCCATTGAGTGTATATTAAAATGTAGCCTTTGGCTATTAATTCATTATAAATATTAGTTCTTCCTGTTGCAATTTTTTTAAACCTGGAAAAAGACCCTTGTCATTTTATGCCATTGCTCTAGCATGGTATCCAGTTTAGGTTCTTCTAAACAAAGTCTGAGACCATCTGAAAAACATTTTCTTTTACTTAGATGTCAGCTAAACCAAGAACAGTTGCTGTCACTGTGCAGATTAGCTGCTTAAGAAGCAAATTTAAGCAGAAATTATGTGGCACTGCTTCACATCACCTTTTGCTGATCTGAGAGTTGATTTTGCATGATAATGGTACTTCATCTCACAATGCAATTATTGATGTGTGCAATGTAGTTAAAGCAAAAAAATAAAAAATAAAACAAAAATACATGGGTTCTCATTCTAAAGGGAAACTTTCAGCTATCTTCCCTCCTCCCTTCATAAATTCCTTCTATTTGAGGTCTGGCCTTTCGACGTCAAACAGTTCATATCATATCTGCATCTCTGGGCAGAGTGATCAGACCTTAGCACTAAAATAAACATGGAGGAAAAAAATCTTTGCCTTTACCGCTTGTTTGCTAGACTCCTTTCCAGTCAAGACAGGCTGTACCCTTCTGAGCTCAGCTGCAATCGAAAATGGACCAAGTATCAAGTAAAAAGTTAGTTTGGTTAATGATTTGTTCATTTCTACATTTTGGTAGAAGTCCCCAAACTAAAGGTTTGTCGTAACCTTGGGTTTGACGCAATCTTTCATCTTTAAAGTGCTTTTGTGGAGGAGAAAGTAATGGAAAAACATTACAGAGTCTAAAAATTTGGGCTGTAGCTATCATAAGGCCTACCTTTCAAACAAAGTCTGCTGTATTGTGTAGGCCTGTTCCTCGCCTCCGCCGGGCTTATTCGGTAATTGGAGTCTCTGAAAGCAACCCTTACAGAGGGATCTAAGAGCAAAGCGAAAGAGAGCATCAAGGAAGGATATACACGGTTTAAAAACCAGAAGCAAAAACAAAAAAAAGACAAAACATGAAAGATTGGTAAAGTATCAGAAAAGAGCTCTGGCTCCAGTGAGGGAAATGCCGTTCGGAGTTACAGCCGACATAGAGCTGTATGTTGGTGGCACAAGATGACAAGAGAGCTGCAATTTCAGTCATGCATTTGCAATTATGATCAAAGAGCGGCCTCCCCGTACATGACCTACATGCACGACATCCGTGTCAGGACCACTGTGTGTTGGAGCAGAGCAGAGCAGAGGTGAGTTCAACTTTCACTGCAGCTATGCTGAGCCATTGTGATGAAGTGGAATCAAAGTCATCACAAGACGACTTGCCGGGAGCCTTTCTGACAATTATTATTTGTTTTGTTGGCTTTTAAAAAGGGCCCAATGAGACACGACAGACCCTGCTCCTGCTGCCTGTTATGGCTCATTAGTGTACATGGACTGGAAAGGCTCAATGCTGCAGAGGCAAGACTATTAAGAGAACATATGAGAATGAAAAAAAGGGGGATTTGCTTTTATGTTTTTATGTATTTTTGTTACAGAACATGTTGCTTAAGATGCAGGTCTCATCAAAACACAAGGATCCCTTTTCTCAAAATGTGCAAATGTAAACTTATTCAGTAAGTGCAGCTCTTTATAAAAGTTTTCATACCCCTAAAACTTTTCTGTAAGTCTTCATGTTAGAGCCCTCCGCAACAAGCTCTCGCAAATCTCCTTATTTGGGCCGTGTTATCGCGTGAAGTTACGTGAACTCAAGTGAACTTCTGTTAAATCTCCGGACCTGTTGCCAGAGCCGCACCGCACCGTAGTCAAAAGGGCAGTGTGAGAGGGGGTGTGCGGGAGTTGCGGTCTCCGTCGGCTCGGTAACCACACCGGAGCCAGTGTGAGCAAGGGGTAAGAAGGTTGCAGGTAGCCGATTCGATCCGCACAGCCTGCACTCTGGGTTCCTGAGCGAAACCCTTAACCCCACACTGCTCCCCGGGGGCCTCACAATGGCAGCCCCCTGCTCATGAAGGGGATGGGTCAAATGCAGAGAGTGAATTTCCCCATTGTGGGACAATAAAGGGATTTACATTCATTTAGTGAAGTCACATTATCATTTCAAAACTTACTGAGATAAACTTTTTCCTCAAAATTCTACAGACAATATTTACAGATTTTATATGAATATTTACATTCTACAATTAGTGTTGAAGGGTCTGTAAAAGGGCACATTTGAAGCTATTCAGCTTATTATGACGGACCCATACATTTACATCACAATATAAAGATAGCAACCAAAAAAATCTAACGTCTGAAATTCACAGCTCATAAACTATCTAACCACTCAAACTCCCATCCCACTGTAAGTTGTTTTTACCATCAGTACACATCATTACTCATTGGAATCGTATCAAATGCTGTTTATTAGAAACATTTTAAGGATTTACAGGGTCTTACTAAACCAGGTGCAAAGCCTTTGGGGTTTATTTTAGGCATAATGTAGCAATAAACTGAGAAGTGTCTTGAATGGATGAGGAGACTGAGATTCTTTAAAGTCGAAGGGAAATGGGTGTTCCAACCGTTGCATTTCCGAATTCTCCACAGTGGTGCACGATTTTACACGAGTGAATAAAATGAATATGATTGGTTGTTTATCAAGAGGGCGGGGTTGTTGTGGCGGAAGGTTTGCAAGCATGTTTGGTTGTGGCTGGTGTCTGGGAAGCATCTTGCTAACAGTTAGCAACTTAGTGCTAGTAGGTTCCCAATGGGAAATTACATTGGGACCAAGTAGCACTAAATTGGTGACTTAGAAACTACGCTGTCAAGGAACGCTATGGACAGCGGAAACATGCAAGAGGAGGAGAGTTTAGTGTCGGAGGTCGTGGATGAGTCTCCTCCGTCATCCATTTTTTTATTTAGAGGAGGAAAGCGGGGACGAAGATGTTGTGGAAGAGGATGCCAGGGCGGCAGAAGCTTGGTTTGGTGTAGAAGGCTTCCAGCCGTACATGTTTGAGCCCTTGCCTCGCAACGCTGCCAGTTCTGTTAGCTCTACGCCTGCCGAAGACACAGACGTCCATCCCCGTGAACACTGGGACGCAACTCAATGGGAAAGGAAAGGATTCTGATTTCTCATTTCAACCGTTGCGTATATTAGCTGAAACATATTAATCAAGATGCTATGACCGATAAAATTTGATTGACAGATGACCGTTGATATATGATTGGCCGAATTTAGGTGTAAAAGCTGCATAAGGTCTGCATCAGATAACCAAAAAAACAAAATACTGATTTTAGGACAGGATTTTTTTGTAAATATATATTTTCAAAATTTTTGGGACAATATCGTCTGATAAAGAGTACATATAAATACATCTTTATGTTAGCTTTAAACATTTCAGGCTGTATAACATTGGATCAGAGGGAGCATTAATATTTGCCCATCTTATGACTTTCTTTACAGAATCTGTAGTTTATTAAGACGGGTGTTACATTGACATTAGAATTAAGACGGAGTTTTTAAGAGGAAGATTGTTTTTCAACTTATCAACTAACCCAAAATATTTAGAACATTTATCAATGAGATCCTTATTTTAAAATTCAAAACCTGATCTAGGAATGTTCCTAAATTACTATTTAATGATAATTTGTTACATATAAACCACTCATTGACATCAGATAATTCTTGTTTTACAAGATTTTGGAAATTACTAAGATTTTAATGGGGAAAAATGTAATTGGTCTCATCAGGAAATATTACCTTAAGGACATCAGTTAAATATATAGATACTTGTCTATAAATCAAAAGAAGTCATCACTATATGGCATCCTGAGGAACACATGCAATAGTATTTACTGTTGCAGATTTGCACATATAGTACTGTAGCTCTTGAACCACCACTTGGTTCACTATCCCATTATGACAATGGGGCAAGTTGTTATTTTTGAGATTGCAAATATATGATAAAAAGAAAACCAATAAATCACCTTTATGTAAATATTCAGACCCTTCGCTCTTTGCCTTTCCAGCCTCAAGTTGGCAGTTTGGGGACTCTTCTTTATATTACATCCTGAGCTTCAGCAGGTTGGAGGAGAGACGTATTTTCATGACCATTTACAAATATCTCCTGATGCTTAATCTTATTAGTCTGGACTCTGCCTTGGTCACTTTAGGACATTCACTGAGTGGTTCTGATGCACTACTTTTAGATTGTAGCTTTGTTTGCTTTGGGTTATTGCCCCACTCTGATTTCAAGAGCTCTGTATATGGTAATCCTAATTAAATAGTAATGTAATCCTATATTCCATCTTGGCCAGATCATACTGACTTCCAAGTTTTTTCTGCTTGTGTTTGGTGGCCTTCATCTTCTCAGCTCTCTTCAGCATAAGCAGAGCTGTGCGGCTGTTGGTGAAGCCCCTGAAAACAGCATAACAGTAACAATGATGTTAAGCTCAACTGAATAGCACAATCAATATAATGCAATAGTGCATGAGATACGATGGCGCGTTACCATTCTTGTATAATTTTTTCTGATCTTTCAGAGAGGTCGCTGTGGACCAAGGTTGAAACAGAGGAACGGCTTCTGAAATGAATAAGAACTCACATTATTTAAAGGCACACTATGCAACATTTCTCAGTTAATTAATGTGTTCCATAAAGTTTTGGATGATTAAATGAGTCATTTCAGGTTGAACAAAGGTATTCTAGGCCGCCCTGGTGGTCTGTGGGGGAAATACTGCACTTGCAATTGCAGGAGCACCGACCCGCACCCAACAGGCTCAGAAGTCTCGCGAGAGTCGGTCTTGCTTTACGGCAAGAACTGCTACACGCCCCCAGTTAAACGCATGCTCGTTGCTGGCACAGTACTGCTTTCACACCGGACGCAGCAAGATCAAGTCTGCTGCTTCATTTTTACTGCTTGTACCAGTCAGTTCTGACGCGCGGCTGAAGCAGCCTTGCTGCTCTGGCTGCGCGGTGCAAAATTATGTCTGACGCGCGGTGGGCGGAGCTTCACTATCCTTTCTCTGCCTTGCAGCTATATTTGCTGTGATCAGTGGGAATAAAGTAGTTTTAATATGTTTTTAAGTGAGAAAATCCACCTGAAAACGTAATCAGTGCCGTCAGTTCATTCAGATTATTATCCTGCCTTCAATATTTTTTCTGTCGGAGCCGCTCAGACCCCCACATACCAGCGGTGCGCCGACAGTAGGGATCCCTTCATCAGCAGCCTCTGGCCGGGTCGCCTCCTTGCGGTTCACCGCGGCAGCTGGTAGGTGTTTTTCATCTAAATAATCCAAACTGCAGGCAGCAGGATAATAAAAGCGAACATATTCTGCTGGCAGATTTCTGCATTTTAAGTTAATTTAGGCGTCAATAAACTGTTTAAGAGGAGTGATCCTCTGATCGCCCTGATCATCAGTGCTGTGTCTCTCTCCCTGCCAGCTCCCAGATCAGCTTCTCTGATTGGTTGACGCGGCGCGTCGAGCAGCAAAAATTTAATTTTTCCATCTCGAGCAGCAGCGCGTTTGCGGCGCGTCACGCGAGTCAGATGCTTAAATGTGCCTGACGCGCTGCTTCAGCTGCTCAGACGCTGCGCCTGCTGCTCAAAACGCGCCGCAGGACCTTTTGCTGCGCCTTGACGCACGTCAACCATTGACTTTGCATGTAAACTCGCTGCTTCTGTCGCGCCAGCTGCGTCCAGTGTGAACGCAGCAGTCATGCGTTGCGTTCGCCTGTCTGCTAAGCTCAAAACAACCGTGCCTGGCTTGATGGAGAAACCAGGAGAACAGCTGTGCATATTTACGTCAGTGCACTTTTACTTTCGCCCTCTGGGGGGAGCCTCGCTGGAAAATCAACACCGGTTGCATAGTGTACCTTTAAGTTTTTCAATTGAAAAAAACATTTAAAAAAAACTATATCAAAACAATGATATTTTAACATCTCTTCTTACTTTAACAGAGAGCTGTGAAACACAAAGTGCTTTCTCTTACACAGTGTTTAGTTTGATCAGCTCCTGATTAAGTAATTGAAGTTACAAAAAATGATACCCTGGCATACAGTGCACTTCTATATTTTGGGTTGTGCAGGAAATAGTATAGGTAACGCCCTCTAATATAACAGAGTAAAGGAGATATGCTTTAATTGATGGTGTTTGAGCTTTATTTTTATAGCTCTGGGAGGATTTTGCTGTAGTCCCTTTCAAATCAGCCTGAGGTCTGTGATCTACATATGTTTATGTAACCTCATGATCATCTGAGAGGTTCTAACATGTTACACCCTTAATCCACCTCAGGAGCTAGTAATAAACCCATAACCAGTGCGAAATGTAAGTGGTAATTCTGTATACTGCAATGAGGATCATTAGGTACAAAGCAGAGGCAGCCGATCCAGTAGAGTCCATGGTGACACACTGAGCATAGACACTGTTGGTCAGTGGGCACTACTACTATAAACACCGGGGTGCGCTGGATTATAAATGAATGGTCTGTTTGTGAAATAAGACGCATAAACAAATGAAAGGCGATGCGACTTATAATGCATAAAATACGGTACCCTTGGGGACAGTCTCACGGGTTAGGTGTATGCATGGTAAAACATGCTTGCTTATTAATTCGCTACTTCCAGCTTTATAGCTTGAATGCTCACTTGCTGGACCTGCATCGAATGCTGCGAAGCCTCTTCCCAAAGGGCGCATCAGGGAGAACAGTCAATGGTGGAGGTGTGAGGGGTCATTGATAATGTTACGAACTCTGGACCCGCAGCGCTGGGATGAAATGTCTTTAATGGAGGGAAGTGGAGCCCCGATGATCCTCTCTGCTGTTCTCACCTCTCTCCTCTCTTTCTTCCAGTCTGAGGAGCTGCAGCCTCCACACCACAGTGAGACAGCTGGTCAGAACGCTCTCCATGGTGCTTCTGTAGAAGGTGGTGAGGATGGGTGGGGGCAGGTGGGCTCTCCCCAACTTCCTCAGGAAGTGATTTCATGCCCTTTTGACCAGTGAGGTGATGTTTACAGTCCAGGTGAGGTTGTGTGTAATGTGCACCCCCAGGAATTTGATGCTGCTGTCCACCTCTACAGCTGAGCTGTTAAAGAGCAGTGGAGCGTTTATGGCCGGTTCTTCCTGAAGTCAAAGATGATCTCTTTTGTTTTGTCCACATTCAGGATCAGGCTGTTGTCTCTGCACCAGCTCACCAGCTGCTCCACCTCTTTTCTGTAGTTCTGGTCTTTGTCGTCTCGGATGAGGTCCACCACCGTGGTGTTGTCTGCAAACTTCACAATGTGATTGGTTGTGAACCTTGGGCCTGTGGTTAGGGTGATGAAATCAGAGGTGTTTTGTCCGACCCCGACTGATTGAGGTCTGTGTGTGAGAAAGTCTAACAGCCAATTGCAGAGGGATGTATTGAAGCTCAGGTGTTACAGTTTTTCTATCAGATGCTGTGGGTTGATGGTGCTGAAAGCTGAACTGGTCCAGGAACAGCATCCTCATGTGGGTGTTCTTCTCCTCCAGGTGTGCCAGGCTCAGGTGAAGAGCAGGAGAGTTGCGTCTTCAGTGGAGCGGTTCCGCCTGTAGGCACACTGAAACGGGACACTGATTCCTGTTGCACTGGGTGGAGACTGGAGACGATGTGTTCGGAGCCAGCGTGACTCCGTTTTTAGCACACAAAATGACAGCCTCTGTTATATTTTCCACTCATGAAAAGAGGATTTCTCAGGGTTTTTTCAGCTTATTCTTGTTTCATATTTTAAATTAAATTATAATTTAAAAGGCTTTTGTATGATAAGCATTTAGTGAGGTGCATTCTATAATATTTGTCCATTATAGCTTGGTATCAGTGAGTCTATCTATATTTATATTAATATATGCAGTTTAAAATTTCATTAGAACCTCCCCAACAACCCCCCCTCCCAACAAACACTGGTTTAGATCACTGATGATAATGCAGGAAATCCCACCCATTATGTAAGGAGTTATTCTTTCTTACATGCTGGGAGTTTCTGCTGAACATCTCTCTGCCATAAAGTCTGGTTGCTCCTCAGCCACCCAGGCCTGCTTCGGTTGGAGCACCACCTGGGACTGATGATAACATGACAAAAAACAGCAACATCGGTAAACAGGATCAGCATAGTGTATCTCTCCCAGAGGTGCCAGGGGTCTTAATGGAATGGAATCCTCCAATAATGGTTTGAGAGGGGCTTTAGGGCCTATGCCTTGAGGGGGCTTGTTAGTTTGCTTTGCCTGGCTAGGTAGACCCCCTCACCCCAACCTCCGCCCCACCGGCAGTACCACTGACCTTCTAGAATCCCTGATGCTGCCCATTGATGCAGCTACTAAATAAGTCCTAAACGTGCTGTAACACCTCCCATGAAACCTAAACTTGGAGGATAGTGGCTAAAAGCATTGCCAATAACAGTATTACTATTAGCAAGGACAAGTACTCAAGTAGACACTTGATACTTTAATACTTTGATTAGTCACTAGTACAACTTCACAGGGATAAAATAACGCCTCATGAGCTTTAGCTACAACTTTAGTGAACACCAAACTGCACAACTCCAGTTTTATCCTGCTTGGAATCAATCTTCATCTTGTGCATTTTTAAACTTGATCTTGGACTTCTTTTCTGCAAGTAGTCTGGGAGTTCAGTACTCGCTGGCCTCTATTGCTTCACCTTGTTGACCAATTGTATGCATGCAGAGTGATGTAAATCCTAGCCACATGCTGTTATGTTAAATATCCATAGTAAAGCTTCATTTACAAACAAAATTACCAAAAACAAAGCTGAAAAGATAAAAATAACAGAGGCTACACCGACAGGATGCCGCCATTTGTCATAAAAACTTTGTATGCAACAAGAATGAGTTACTGGAATATAAATCTAAAAATTGTCAAATAACGTGACTAGGTACCTTTACTACACCTTTGAGAGAAGGGTGTATTGTATGCAATTTCAAATCTTAACCGGGGGTCCAAATAATGATGGTACCGTATGTGCTGTAATTTACTCCACTGTCATCTGTACATGCAAATACATGTACAACTAACTTAGAACAAAATGTGTACTACACACAATAAAAGGTAATCATGTTTAAATCAAGAGCGTGTTTTCATTCAAAATATTTTATGGATACATTTCACCAGAGTAAGTTTTCCTACTGATGAAACTCTCATATGTGAGTCAGACAAGCTGCCTAATTACTCTCCAGATCCCATTTTCTCTCCATCCAACTCCTCATCATCGCCTTTGATGTGCACCTCAGTGTCAACAGACTGGAGCCGACCAGCGCAGCAGCTGCAGCACATCAGCTGGCCCAAACGGGCTACCATGATGTACAGTGCTGAGCACGCTCCAAAGAAAAGATCCAACAAGAGGTAAGAGAAGGGAGAGAAAAAAACAGGATGACATTTAAGCCAGAAGTGATAAATGACATCTGCTTGTGCTGAGCAACCTTCGGTCCCTCAGGGAAATAAAACTGTTTTTTTCAAACGAATAAATTTAAAGATCAATCAGGGAGGGGGAATGTAAGCTTCGTAGAGGAGGTGGAAGGTAGTGGGGGTTAAGCAACATGTCAAAGGAACAGGTTTAGAAACTAATTCCTAAATATTGATCAACATAACATAGCACTTAAAATACACCTTGTCACTAGATTTAAGAACAGTCCCAAACTTCACCTGTGGAGGTAAGTGGAGCTCTGTCACTGGATAATCCATGGGAGGCAAATCATCGGAAAAGGTGAGAGTCCAGTGCTTTTCCAGTGCTTGCTTTGAGTGGAAAGAGGCAAAAATATATATTCATAATAAAGAACATAACAACTGATACATGTTTATTTGCCGTTTTTGAAGTAATCCTCTTGCAGGGAGGAAAAATAATAATTCACCCGATTGAATTAAGTATGTTTAATAGAGCAATAAGCAATAACTCATTATGTAAGATAAAAAGAAATAAAAAATAAAAACACGAAGAACTCATTGGTATCTCATTAGATTGACTATGGTGTGACATCACTCTCCATCTCTTTTTCTTGTTCTCCCATCTGTTATTTACAAATTGGGCCGTCCAAACATGCATGTTTGTCCAACGTAAACAGAACTTACCCCCTCCCCATCCGTAAAACATCACTAGAGCAGCTGAGAAGCAAAATTATTTGCCAAATTAAAGATTTCTTGCTATCAGCATTATAAAGTTATTAGTCACTTCTTACAGGAAAGGTGATGCTTTGTTTATTCTTAGCAAATGTGCGCAAATGGATGAAACAAGGGGGGGTAGGGGCAGGGTTGCAGATGGAGTGGAGCTGGACAGAGGTGTTCCTTGTTGCACATCTTGTATTGGTCTACAGTAAGTGCTCAACAACCAACTTAGTGGTGAAATTCATCGTACTGTATAGCCCCCTAAAATTACCCTTCCAGGTTACTGAGAAACTTTTAGTAGCCGTCAAGAAGCCTATGATGTGAATTAGGCTGCATATTTGATTAGTCACTAGCTATTAGCCTGAAAATGCTTTCTCAGGTTGGTTCCTCCCACAAAGTAACAAATGTTGACCTGAGCCACAGAAACAGGTCCACATGTGAACAGGAATGTACTGGAGCATTAAAAAAAAGAGAGAGCAGAGAAGGAGCAGGGGCCGATTGTCGTGATATATTGGGGTCTTGTGGTATTGAATCTGCACACAAACGTTCCAAATGAGCATGGTAGTAGTTTACATGCGTGTGTTTTAAATAAGACTGCTGTTATGAGCATTTATTATGCCTGTAAAGAATTCTGACTTCATACTAAGGCTCTCATTAAGCTTCAAAACGCCAAGACATTCTTGACTGTTGCAGCCAAAGTGAGCTTCATAAAAGCATAAATGAGCATATTTGGAAAGTAGAAACTGCCTGGCCCTCACATTCAGATCTTCTTGGACAAAACCAGTGTCTCAGTTTTATATATGGTCTTCTGGATAACTGCTGAGATATTCCTATTATAATAGCAGCTAATGGTTCAAACTAATTATTTGGTAAAATTCATTGGCATATTTCGACTATATGGGTTGTGAAAAATGTTGACACTTTTGTCCGTTTTTGACAATTATAACATACAGACTTGAACTTGAGCCAAAAAATCTTGCTTTAACAATTTATTGAGGCAGTCAGTTTGGTCAATATTCCACCTTGGAGCGGCTGAACCCTAAGACTTGCATACCTCCTCCACGACAAATTCCTGCACATCCACCTCCTCGAAGGCGTCCTCCTCTCCGGTTTCAGCGCCAGTGAAAGCAGTGAGCGCAGAAGCAAGCCTCCTCCTCAGGGCAAAGCCCCTCCAAAACGCCTAGATGATACGGGTAGAAAAGGGAAAGTCAGAACACCATCTATGAATCACAGTCCAAACGTAAATACTGCATGTTATCCCATTAGAGAGATAAAACATGCTAGCCGAGTTTTTAATTGCTGAACGTTCTGCTGTCTGAACTCTGCATGACTCCAGGCTGCTAAGAGACAAATGGAGCTCCAAGCAAGCCTCTAAATCCTCCAATTCCCAATGGAGCTGGGGGGGCACACTTCGCTTTAAGCCGAGCCTCACAGGAATTCTAGAGCGCTCTTACGACCGCACGTCTTAGGAATCTGATTAATCACTCCATACCCATCCAAAACAAAACACACACACACACATACTGTTCCTTCCTTCTCCTACTCCCACTTTCTTCTCTGTAGAATCCTAAAGGACTCATCAAACACTTCTTGTGTTGAGGGTGAATATCAGAGAGGTGGTGAGTAGCAGAGGAGATTTTCAGGGCAGCAGCTTACACCTCGGTGAAGAATATTAGCCAAGAAAATGTCCAGAACCCGCTGGAGGCCTGCAGATTGACGATCAAGGATGTGTACGTATGGTCGCATCAATCCAGAGTGTGAAAGTGACTTTAGGAAAGATCATTAATTACAAATACACTTTTTATACCTCGCTCAACATGTCAAAGGCTTTGGTCGAAAATAAAATGCTGTACAAAGATACAGCTACAATCCTATTAAAGTTGATGATTTCTTAATGAAGTAACACAAAATAGAAATCAAATTAGCCAATGTAGCTCTTTTTTTTAAATAATAATCTGATCGAGGATGAAGGATCAGACATAAAGTTATGAACATGTTATAACCAAGGTTACCTAGCAAAAAAAAAATCTAATTCTGTGTCCGAGTACTATTTGATCCGTCATCTGAATTTAGAGATTATGGTACAATTCTAGAGCCATTTGGAACCTAAACCTTTCAGAACAGCAAGCAGAGCAAAAAGCAGAACAACAACCATCTAGCAGAGCTATCTAAGTCCAGTTAAATATGGATCCAGAGTGTTCTTTTTCAGAGAGAGAAAATTATTATTTGATGTACTTGTTAATTTCAAAGTTCTCACAGTAAGAAAGAACAGAGTATCTGTAGCTCTGATTAGCACAACAATAGACTTTATTTGAGTAGTGTTTAATTTGATATAAATACCATACACAGAAATACTGTAAGCTGTTTAGTTTTGATACATTTCTAGAAGATGCTAGAACAGATGGAAAGCCATGCTACACACACAATACAATAAAAAAAAGAAAAACTAAGGTAATGTTAGCCTTCCTGTGCTTACTCTGTAGGTTAAATTTCTAGTAGAGCCTAACTGTGTCAGAATATTATTGCGCAATTGAAAAAAATGGTGACTTCCATGGGTGAAAAATGTTTTAATTCGGAGTTGTGGGGCCGTCCTGTGAGGCAAGAGGCCGATAATTGTTAGTCAACGCAGGTTCTTGATTGTGGGAAGAGCTTCTAATTACATGTCCACCTGGATGGTAATGCAGAGTGCCGTTCCATGAGAAGGTGTGTCACTTTGAGTACCAGGGGTAACCGAAGTGCCAGGTGTGTCCGAGGCTCAGAGCACCAGTGGCTCCGTGGTTCCAGAAGTTGCTGAGCTCCAGACAGGACCAGAGAGGACCAGGGTTGATCCAGGGGACAAGCCGAGGCAAAGACCAAAAAAAGTCCAAGGTCCAGTCGGGTCCAGAGGTCCGGAACGGTCAGCAAGGACCAAGCAGAGAGAAGAGCAGGCATAGGGAGCATGTGCTGGAAGCAGATCTTGAGCTGCCACGTAAGGTATGCATACACTGTACGATTTTTTGCCCTTTTCGGGACGATTTTCCAGTCACATGAGAATTTTTCAATCGGGACGACTTTCAGCCTGATTGTGCGTCTCGCAGTGTACAGGGGGTAACAAAGGGTGTGCAGCAACTCACGACCACCTCCCGATCAGGAATCGTAAGGTAAGGAAAATATAAAACGTGTTTCAAATTCAGTCGGCCGTTGTGGGCAAATTGCTCAGTGTACATGCGCAAACAAGGATTCTTCTTCTTCCTCTTAGACGAAAACACAAAAACATGGCGGGGTTGCGAGTTAAATGGAGTTCTTTCTGTAAATTTGACAGACCGTAGTAGCCACATTTGCTCAGCTATGTCTTTGTCCAAATAAGTCGCCCTTTCTACTTAGGGTTTTCAGCACACATAATTGCACAAATTGCCATGGCAGCGTGTTTCACTCGTGAGCTTCATATCCCTCTTCTACTCGTTTGGCTTCCGGATAGACAAGTCCGAGTAGCGCCATCTCACTGCGGAGCTGAGTCTGACGTGGTTTTAAGTCGTACAGTGTGAGCAGGTAGATTGCATCAGGTAGTCGGGTCGCACAGCGTGAGAACATACATCGTGAGCTGTGAACTTTTAAACCCTGTGGTTTTGTCGTACAGTGTGAACTATAGCTGCGTGCAATGATTGAAAAAATCGTACTATGTATGCCTGGCTTCCACCTTAGCTAATGTGTGCTCAAAACGTTCTGTTTGAAGAGCATTCCCATTATGATGTCAGAAGGGGAAATAAATTGTCTAGAGCGGTCTGTAGGAGACTATCAGTAGCTAAAGCATTAATATAGTATTCTCATGTATTAATCTAATGTATTATTCCATTCTCTGAGGATAACTTTATGAACTCTGACTGGTTGTCATGGTTGCGGGTTATGGCAGCTTGGCCTTCGGGAAGATGGGGGCATGGAAGGTCAAATCAGCTTGTCCAGAGTGGGGCTAAATTAGGAGATTTTTGGTAAAAGCTGTCTGCCTAATCTGAGGAATTTTCCAGCACAAATGGCAAAACCATGCTCTGGAGGCCTCATTGTTAAGATTTTTTTCTTTTCAAATGTAGCATACAACCTTTGAAAATACTATTATTACTATACTAATTTAAGTTAATAGGATAATTACAACATATTTAGGCCAATATGTTCAACTATTTGTGGATTGACTGAAATATTTTGTTTCCATTCAATTGGATGAAATAAGTGTTTGGTCACGTAACATCCAACAAGAATTATCAATCTCAGTTTGTCTTCACTTCAAGAAGTCCTCATGTTCTGCACTCATTATGTTTAAAGGGCATCAGTCAACACAACTGGCCATTAAGACTCCATTCTTTCCACTGTGGGCAAGATCAAAGAGCTGTCTAAGGACACAAATGACATTAAACTGCATAAGGTCGGGTTAAGCTACTGGTGAACAGGCAAACAGATAAGAAAGCAACAGCCTCACTCTCCTTTGGAAGGAGGCTTTATGCAGGATATTCTACTGTGTAGAGTATACAGTTGTGCTTGAAAGTTTATATACCCTACCATAAAAGAAAATTATCAAATTCACACTAGTAATTCAAATGACACAAAACTGAAAAAAGTAATAAATACAATATACAAAAATAAAATATTGATTGATACATGCCGCTTCCATAACCAGTGGAACCAACGGGTCACAGGTTACCATTGTTAACACACTACAGTCATGGATTTAAATAAATGCAAGGTCTTCCTGCTTAAACCAAACACTTGTCCAGGTCTACAATGATCTGGAGGAGGAATGAGAGAAGGTCTTGTGAATCCATGCATTCTTCTTTTTTCTATTTGAAACCAAAAATTAAAATTAATATAAATTGTTGTTTTTTTTTATTTAGCGAGTGTATGATTTCATTTTTTTTCTTTTTTCTTTCCTTTGGGCTCTAACATATGGAAAGTTTTATGAGTTTTATTGGAATATTTGGATTTCTGAATAGGGGATATTCTTTCCTGCCAGTGCAGATCTGAGCAACAAAAAGCCAAAGTAAAACTTCTTGGTATAAACTCCACTCATTGTGTTGGAGAAATGCACCGTATGGAGGAGAAGATTGATCAGACGGTGGATAGTGCAGTTTTGAGAAACAACTTTCCCTCAATAAGAGCAGTGAAGATGGATCATAGCTGGACTCACCAGCGTAACAACAACCCATACACGGCCTGAGAAACAAGGAGTGGCTCAGTAAGAAGCATTTCAGGGTCCAGCAGAGGCCAGGTCACCAGACCTGAACTCTATAGAAAATGTTTGGAGAAAGCTAAAACGTTGTGTTGCCCATGGAAACTAAAAGACTTAAAAAATACTTTATAAATGCTAAAATGAAGTTGAATAATAAGCAGATCTGGAGAAAACTAAAGATCTAAAGACTTATCTCTGCTTCTGTCTCCTAGAACCCCAGTCGGCCTCAGCAGATGGCCGCTCACACTGAGCCTGGTTCTGCTGGAGGTTTCTTCCTGTTAAAAGGGAGTTTTTCCTCTCCACTGTCGCTACAAGCATGCTTAGTGTGAGGGATTGTATTTGAGTCGATGCAATCAACTGGTTTTCCTTAGATAGAAAACTTTGTATCAATTTGACTGTATGATCTGGTTGAACTGTAAAGTGCCTTGAGATGACATGTGTTGTGAATTTGGCGCTATATAAATAAACTGAATTGAATTGAATTGAACTTACTGAGGATTAGACCAAAATTTCTTTTGCAGTGGATGCTAACTTGGCCAGAACAGGCAACGCCCACCTCATTAGAGGAAAACAAAGGTCTCTGTATAAATGTTTAACTTTCTCTTCTTTCTGAGATTTATCAAATCATTGTTGGGTATCAATTATTTGTTTCTGGGACAACTTCAAATACTACAAAAATGAGGGCAAGTATTTCATTTTAAAACTCATTTCTCCTAATGTGTCAAGACTAAAGTGCATTTTGGAGGTTTTTTATGTTAACATTTTTTCCTTCCACTTTGGAAATCATGCACAACATTTAGATGTATGAAATCCATCCTTATTCTGCTAACATTTGTCGATCTAATGAGACAAATAATAGTACTTTAATGATCTCACACTGGAGAAATTAACCTCTGCATTTAAGAGATCCCCTTGGGGAGCAGAGGGCTGCCATCGTGGGTTACCCAGGGAGCAGTGTGGGGTTAAGGGTCTTTGCTTAGGGACCCAGAGTGGCAGTCTGTGGGAGTGGGGCTTGAACTCAGAACCTCAGGATTCCAAGCTCTATGCCTTAACCACTAGTCTGTCACTCCGAGCAAATGGTAGTATAATTTCAAGGAGGACGACATTTTATGCACTACACCGCTTCTTTTCATAAGGTGGGCGGGGGTATTGGGATCCTAAAGTCTAGAAATTGACTAAGGAAACCACATTTTACCTGCTGAACAGGTCGCAGAAAAAAAGAGATTGACAGGAAGGTTTTACCTGTATGATAATAGCTGCATGTTCTTCAGCAGAGGTGCTTCTGTTAGCAACAGAAAGCTTATTTTCTCCCTCTGAGTCTGCGATTAACGAGGCCTTAGCACGTCTGCATTTCTGCTTGTACTTTCTCCACATCCTCTGGAGCACGATGGCTGCTGTGCTGCACAATTAACAACACACAAAAATACACAAAGTAAGTAAAATCGCTGTGACCATCTTTCAAAACAGATTGTTTTTTGCAAGCGGACATATGGAGTCTAGGACTCTAGAGAGATTATCTGTGTTCAGAGCCAACCATCACATTAAAGATCTACTGCCCTCGCTAAGATAGCAGAGTGTTAATGATAAGGCGCTGTGTTCAAATGAAGGAGATCTTCAACATCTCTCATTGTAAATCAAACAGAGGAGGCTCCAATGATGACAAATGGCCTCCAGAAGAAACTAATAAAAAGGCTCAACTGCCATGGACCAAATTATATAAAATGTGGAGTGTTTTCTTTTTTCCAGCTGTTTTGTACCATAAAAGTTTATCAGAAATGTAAAAGAATATGAACACCCTGCAACAGCCTGTAAGTTTTGTTAACAGGTCTGAACATATGGATATTTATATACAGTTTTCAGTAATACTAAAAAATAATGAAATCTAAGTCATTTTTCTTAATCGTTTTAAGAATAAACACTCGATTTTATCAGTAAAAAACATCAATATTTAGAGGCTATTATAGCTTGGCCATTTCATGGAACCGATGTAATGTCCACTTTTCTACATAGATTACAGTAGCTGATTTTCGGTGAACTGTTTACAAAACCCAGCAGCAGACGTAAACTTTTAATGAATTACTTTTTACTGTGCAACTTGTCCAATTCTTCGTCCAAACTGTTGGAGGTTTGTTCTTCTTTTGAAGACAGAAAGAGAGTAAAACCTTTGGTGAAGTTTGACTTTGTTATTGACCTCTGACCAGTTTTAACACCTCCAAATGTTTCTTGTCTGCTGTTTTCATTTGGTTTGTCCTCAGAGTGATAGTGAATATGTCCATCCTTCTCCCTGCTCAGGTTGTCTGGAGGTCTCCTGAAAGCTGACTCGGTTTTCAGGGAATCTGTGAGCTTTCCTAAACTTCTACTCATGTGCAGTGTTTTTTCAGACGTTGTTTGGCCCTCATCCATGTGTTCCGCAGACATAGCAGTGACATCATGTTCATGGGCGAATCTCTGATCCTCAGCGAGTTGCAAAGCCAGAGTAAAGTAATGGCAGCAGCTCTTCACAGCATCCAGAGACAATGAGGCATTCCTGTGTAAACAAAAAACAAGGACAAACATTTTATTAAACACAAAATGTTTCCCATTATTGCAATAGAATCAACCCTTTTCCATTTTGACTGGAATTATGACACATTTCTTTTGTTCTCCTGAATTTATTTGTCAATTATCGTCTTGATGACTATGTTCACCCACATATGGCCACCAGTCAGGTCTCTCTATCCCGTTTCCATCTGGTTAAGCTGACCTTGAGCAAGCTTAAAGTACTTCACTTGCCTCTGGATCGACCTGGATGGAAGCTTTACTAATGTGTAACACCCTCTGAACCAAACCAGTCTGTCAAAAATAATAAAACGCTGTAATCCACACAGTAAACCTCATTTGCGACTAACCAAAAAATGCCACCTTTTGGAGGCTGGAGCCAGGTTCATAGAGCAGAGACTAGGCTATTGGCCTTGACCTACCTAACCTACACCACAAACCAGCTACCAAAGATGAAAAACAACAACTAAGGAAAATTACCTCACCTGGAAAAAAAAATATGCTTCTAGACTTTTTAAGGTTCTCATTAGACTCCGGGACTCTCTGTTAGATAATCATACAACGCAGCTCACTTGATGATTGGCCACTCTTGGGTTGTTTTTCCATCATACAGACACTCGTTGCTGACTGCAGCTAATTTTTCGTCATATCTGGCCTTAACTTTTTGTTGAAGGTTTTCTTGGTAATCATACATTATGAATCAAACTATGTATTGATTTTATGTATACACATGTTAATTTTATGTATACACATGCATATTTTTATCCTGTGCGGGCAGTGCTTTTATTTTATTTTATTTACTTTTATTTATTTTAGTTATTTTATCTTTTTTGTGCAGCACTTTGGAAACCTTGTGTTTATTGAAATCGTGCTATATAAATAAAGTGGATTGGATTGGATGTATACAACCTACTTAGACTGATTTTCTAATATTGTGCGGCCCTAACTTCTACCTCGATAACTAAGCAGGATATGTAATAACAGTGTTTCAATCCAAACATGAAAGTACTGCATATTTACAAAAAGCATTTCACATTTTGTAATTGGTTGTAATCCCACCTGCTCAATGTTTCCTCCATTGCACCAGGCAGGTTAATGCTAATTGGTGGCACAGAACAAACTTTTTACATTTCAGATCTGAAATTCAGCAGAGTGATTCATTTACTTTTCACTCTGTTCATCTTCACAGTTTTCTTCATGCCAAACTTCACCTAATTTATTACATGTTTTTTTATCACTGTATTTCAGGGAAGTCAAAGGACTTGTCAACTTGCATGAGTCCCTTTTGTATAGAGTTAATTTTGATCCATTGTTGGTTCAAACAAAAAATACAATTTGTAAATCGAACTTTGAAACAAAGTTTGAAACAAACAAAAAAAAAACAGCTTGGAAGTAACATGTTAACCAAATAAAGTTTTAAAAAGTGTAACCTTATTGTTTTCTCAGAATTTGTCTTTTGAAATATTTTTTTCATATCAAATTTATCTTTTATATTTTACTTTTTCAAATTTTACTTACAAAGTTTAAAAAAAATTGATTGATTTCATTCTGTATAAAGATTTAATTCTTTATAAATTGGCTTTCCTCCAGTGTGAGGAGCAATGTGAGCATCGAGAGCGAGCATTTGTATTGGGTTTGAAGTTGAGAGAATGCGATTTGTAAAATGCAATTTGTTAGGCTCAATCGGAAAAAAAGAAATACAAAACAGTTTGAAAATATATAACACCCGTAAAAAAAGAATAAAAAAATATAAATATATGAAAAATAAGCTGAAAAAAAGTCTGAGAACAGCAAAGTTACTCTCAAAAAATGTTATGATAAAAAAAAGTTTCATCCCTCACTGAAAAAAATTATGCAACTGCTTTTGGCATTTATTTCATCATATTTAGTTGCTTTAACACAATTTTTTCACTGTCCTACCCTGCTAACATAAAACAATTGTGTTAAAATAACTAAATATGATTAAGTAAATGCCAAAAACGGTTGCATTATTTCTTTTGTGCTGGATTGCTTTTTCGTTTTTAATTTCCATTTACAAATTGTGTTATTTCATTGGTACAATAATGGAACAGAATTCTCTCCATACTATTGAAAATGCGTGACTGAAGGGATAAACCCACTACAATGCCTCCTCAATTGAAACTTAATGAATCTATTAGCAATGCTTTCCTCTGTTCCTCTGCTCCCCTCCCGTGACTTCCACCCTGAGGGGGGGCAGAAACACACTCAGTCTGTCTGGAGAGGCCGGTAGTCTTAAGGCCAATAGCTTCTCCTCCACAAAGGTTCAGCTCTTCATTCTCATTTGGATCAGTGAGAACAGGGTCAGGGGGGTGGTGGAAGACTGTGACCCCCATGACCCCTTCCCCTTGTACCTGCTGGTTCACTCCAAGGTCACAATAAACACGCGCAGCATGGATATAAGAAAGCAGAAAACTGATATATATTAAAGAATTTGTCCTGTTATCGTTTGGCTAAACAAAAATCCTTACATTCCTTCCAAAATAATTATGAATTGTGTTTTTTACCACTTTTAAGCTTAACAAGCTCAACTTGTTTTATAGAGATTCTATGTTTAGGAACAACAAAAAAATATGGGAAGGAATTCCAGGGCAATCAAATATATTGGATTTCTCAAATTGGAGGGGTCACAACGTTTTGCCGAGCAGAAGACACCACACACAGCAGGATTATCTCTCTGATTATCTGTCCAGAGGCTCCTGATATCGGTGGCTCTTGGAAGGAGAAGATTGTTCAGGAATCATCACATCCACCCTTAAAGGTACATAGTCACGCTATTTTCAAATTTTTTTTAATTCATACTCTCTTTTATGACAAATTTTGGCATTCTTTAATGCTTTGTTTTGCTCTGTTTGTTATTCAATAAAGCCTTTCTGCATATATTTACTATAAATAATGTCAACGTGATCCAGATTATGTCGCTGCACAGGTGTACAATTGATGAACAAGCAATGGAGGCCAGCGAGTGAAGAACTCCCAGTGTAGTTTTGAAAGAAAAGAAAAGTCCAAGATCAAGTGTAAAACAAGAAAGAAGAGGTTTGAATCCAAGAGTGATAAAACTGGAGTTTCTCTAGGATAACAGTCTGACTGTTGGAGTTCACTAAAGCTGGATTTAAAGCTCAGGAGGCATTCTAATAAATATTGCTGTGAAGTTGAGAGACACATGAGTACATGTCCTAGCTAATAGTGCTACTGGTGTTAGCAATGCTTTAAAGCCCTATTCCGTAAAAGTTCAAAAATATCCACTGGACTTGGTTTCCAGGATTTGAAGACGTTTCTCCACCTCTCCAGGAAGCTTTCTCAATTCAAATGTCTGGATCTGCAGTGAGTTTGAGTCTTATATAGACAAAGCCTTGAATTGCCTGGAAACATGCAATGGTAACCGATGAATGGGTCGTTTGGTTCCATTGTTAGCCTGTTATACCTGAAACCTGTCTATGATTGTTAAGGGTCGGTCGTTAAGGAGGTATAGTTCACCGGCTGGAGCATGTAGGCTTAAAGCCCTATATTCTGAGCTGTAGGTTTTCTGTGAGGCATTACAGCACTGTCAGGACTCATTTAGTAGCTGCATCCAAGGGCAGCAAGTGGGATTCTGGTAGTTCAGTGGTACTGCCAGTAGATGGCGCCACATCTGATTATGTCAGCTCATTGCATCTGGTGCTATGGTTCTATTTAGGCTCAAATATGACAATCAGTACACTATCAGGGCGCATGCTTGGAGTATAGAGCCTTATAGGCATATAACATGACTATAGACAGAATGCTTTGGCCTTCAAGCAAAAGATCATTTATTCTGGGAACCTTTATATCTTTAAATATCTGTTCTAGCAAATAAATCACAGAATTAAATGAACTAAATAAACTTTATTATTTTTACCTTTCTCTGGTTCAGTTTAGGTCAGAAGTTGGTTGCTGCTTGTCGGTTAAACTTGGGTATTTGGTGATTTACTTAAAAAGCACCACTTTCACAACAGTACTTTATGGTAAACCTGAAGGACACACAGAACTGTTTCACTCAATCTCAATCTGCACAAACAATCGGCGTGACCTGAATGATTCAATGAACAAATCCCGATTCTAGATCCAATAAACTCAAGAGAACTGTCATTGCCATCTTTGCAGGTTTATTCATGTAAATTCCACAGATTAGGTAGTGATTATAGGTTTTAGTTGAACGTTAAAAGGTAATACTTCTATCCACACAGTTTCGCTTGTGGATTACAGAAAAATTGCGTCTCAGCTATATCAGCTGTGAAGATACAGTTATTTATTAGAAACAAACACCCAGTGTTTACCTGGGCGTGGCAATGCAAGCTGTACACGATAAATTTAAAAGGTTTCCTAGCCTCCAGTCCATCAGTGAGATGGCGTGTGGCACCCCTCTCACCTCCCCTAAACTTCAGTCTGACAAGAGGTCAGGCCAGGGGTTAAATGGCTGTGTCGGCTCATGCAAAGCCTCCCCCCCAAAATGGCCCATTGTTCAGAGGCCAGAGGGGTAGAGGGTACCCAGCGAGGGGTGAAACTAGGAGAGCGCCACTCTATCCCCCCAGGGCCATAGGAGTCCTCGGTATGACCCGTTCCAGTGGCTGCCGCCACGTTTCATCTTTTGTGCAGCGTAATTCGGAAAGGTCAGAACGATAAGCAGGAAGCTGACCAGCGCTTTAAGTGCTGGTGGTCCTCCTTGCAAAGGAGTGCATACGTGTGCAGGGCTCAGTGACACTAAGGACTTGTGAAAATAGATGGACGTAGTGTATCAGACAAAACAAGGGAATAGCAAGCATTCCTCTCTGCTTGATGTCAGGCGGGGTGATTGGCTCAAGATAATAGAAAGTGTCACACAAACGCCTGTCAACAGACAAGAAAACCTTTATCCTGTTCTCGATATCTTCTGGTTGTTGGCCTTTTAATTTTGATTTTGCATGTGATAAATCAAACAGACAGTTCTGGCTGATAAAGCTCCTTTAATCAGAGATCAAGGCTAGTTATTTGTGAAGAAAATTGACAGGTCAGAATAAACTGGCTTATTCCTCTTGCCAATCCCTCTTGTCATTCAGTACATGGAGAGAATTATAGTCCAATAATTTTGGATCAAAATACATTTTCTGTAGATAGAAAAAGGGGGGAAAAATCAATTGAAATAAAAAAAAATGCAAACCAGAAATGAAACCTTGAAAAATGTTTTAATCAAAAAGGTTTTGAGAGGAACTTTGCTGTTTTTTTCTCAGATAATGTTTAGTCTCTTTTTGTTTAAAGTAGGTTTTCTGAAATTTATTTTTTTAAAGTTCATGTTATATTAAAGTTATGTCTTACATTTTAAAATTTATTTTTTATTTTTATAGATATTATGTTTTAACTCTTTTCTATTTCTTTTTCAGACTGAGCTTCAGAAAAAGTGAGAGATTGGTGAAGAGATAATTTTTAGAATTTAAAAACTGATCCATGTTTTTCCATCATATTGATCCTGATCACAGTTCCAGATCAGCCATACTGATCTCCTGTTTCGTGCGCCGTCTGCTTTGCATCGGACTGGAACAGCCTTTAGTCCCCCTGAGGGAGCGAGCTTCATTTAATCATTCAGCACAGTCTGTGCAGCCCCCACAAATGCTACATTTGACCATTTTTATGAGCAATACATTTATAAGCAATCAAACTTCTACCAAACTCAATTACAATCAAATGACTTGAATTGTTGAAATTTTTTAGAGGGGCATCTAAGAAATGTCACTTTTATAGGTAATTTAACTTCATTATGGCAGCTAAATTTTAACCCGTTAGGAAACTTTTCACATATGATCCATTAGACAACATTTAATTTGTATTTGACAAAACATTAACCTGTAATTTGTTATTTAAATGCGTTTTTATTTTCTTTTTTAAAATGCTGCTGTCACTTCCTTTTACGGAGAAGACTGACCTATGCTAAGGCTTAGAACAGGTCCTCAGTTCCGATCCTCAGGGTCTGTGTCCTGCACCTTGTAGATGTGTCTCTGCTTCCACACCTTAATCAATAAGGTAAATAACCTCCTTAGTCAGAGTCAGGGGGTGTGTTTGATTTCTGCTGCATCTTCCAAGGACCCGTTCTACCTGGACTGGGTCCTTCGAGGTCCGTTGAAATAAGGAGGCCGGAAAAGTTTTTGCTTTGGATTCAAACAGGTCCAGCGTTCTTTGGCTTTCACTGACAAAGAATGAATGCCAAACTTCTGCCTACTGTTCTGGGTGGTAATAAGAGTTTAGAAGAGTTTCAGTAGCAGTACTGTTGTCGTGAATATCAGATTTATTGTAACGAACAGGGATTGGACCCAGAACTCAAACCTGCACAGGTCAGTGACGTTTGAAACAAGCTTTATTAAAAAACACTCAAGAGCGGGGGTTCGGGGGCGGGCTGCTAACTCTTAAGCATGAAACCTCTTGTGGCAGAGAAAACAGGTTAATGATCAGCGGAAAGTAACGGGCAAGAGTGAGAGAAGCTGTATCACTGATTGCAGTGCTACTGAGCCTGGGGAACCGACTAGATGTTGGAGAACTGGTCCGGTACTGGGATCCAACTAAGTCCGTGCTTTGGGGGTTAACTGTGGGTGCAGCCAACAGGCAGGCACTCCTTCAGGGTTATCCAGGGGCGTTATCCAGAGGGGACCACGGCCCATACACAGAGAGGCAGATATCCAGGGGCAGTACAGGTAGGGTTATCCAAGAGAGGAGGTCCAGGTCCGGTCCAGATCTGATAACGGGCAGGCTTAGAGATTTCACAAGGGTTAGGGGGGAATCTGGTATCACAAGCAGGCAGGGTCAGTTAAACGGGAGGGCAACACTGGGTCAGCCTGATAGGCAGGTCCAAGGACAGAATCGGGTCAGGCAACAGACAGGCAATCAGAATTGGAAGTGCTGGAATCCTTGTGCGGGTGGCTTGAGACAATCTGGCACTGGCAGCTGATCTGCACAGAGTTTATATGAGGTAAAAACAGGTGGAACCAGTAAGAGCTGGTTGCAGTAGAGCAGGTGTGACGAAATGTGGGTAAGACCAGCAACAGAGCTGAGACTGTCATATTTATAGTCCCCGCACAGCAGAGATATTGGATTCTGACCTTAAATGTCAGCCATACCCATTTGCACAGGGACAGATAAAAACCTTTCAATAAACCAAAGATGAACCCCCAGATATCTGACTCACTAACCCTTTGAGATAACTCTTTTTATTAATTAGAGAAAGAACTATTTACATACTTGTATTATATAGGCAACGTATGATACACCGGACCCGTCCTTCAAGACAGGCAAAAAGAAAGGCTCAATTTGTCGGCCGCATAATGAGGAGTCTTCCAATCTGAAAAGGCCACGGCGCCACGCTATGATGTAATCAGACGACGAATCTGCCGTTTAGAGGACACAGCCCCTGAATTTGAACTAAGCATGATTCTGCAGAGTCCTTCTAATGACCCGATTATTTGACTCAGATGTGTTGAAGCAGAGACACAACCGGCCTCTAGGAATGGAACTGAGGAACTTTGGCCTAGAAAGTGGTATCTAGGGTTAGAGATCACACTTTTCTTTAGCTAGCAGCTGTAATCTGACAAACCAGCACTATCCTGTTGGAAATAGAGCATTTCTGCTGTTCTTAATGAAACATTTAGTTAAAAATCCCAGCATGAAAATACCAAAATAACTGAAAAAGAGGTGATACCATCACATGGACTGTGTCATTCTCGTGTTAAACGATTTCTCCTGCTCTTACCCGACTTCCCTGCTGAGACGCTGTTGTAAATCCTGAGTTTGCTTTAGCTGCTTTTGACAGAGCGTAAGGAAGCTGTGTGGGGCCAAGCTGAGCTGTCGGGAAGCCAGAGGAGAGAGAAAGGAGTCTGTCTGCTGGCCGTCATCAGCCCTTAAGCCAGGCACTGCTTTCTGCAGTTTGGATCTGAAAGAGAAAAGCCCAAAAAAATAAAAGGTCAGCTATAGTGTCTGTTCTGATTGAGTTGATTTTAACCAAAAGCAGGAGCTGATATTTTATGTTGGAATGGTCAGATTGTTCAAATAAAGAAAAGGCTTCCTCCAATATTCTATATAAAGCAAGCCAAATGAGAACTGCTCTGATGAAGCTTATATGTATTCACATTTTTCTAAGCAAATCTAAGAAAGAAATTCGAGCAGAGGCCTGAATCTATATTGGGACCATAAAGAGCTCAGGGTCTTTGGGAGAGGTAACTACAGCCTCAGGCTAAGGATGTGTAGGCAGAGAAAGTTACTAGAGTCTGCCCCAGAAGCAGAGTCAGAGATCTGCCAAATTTGGTCAGTTGTCAGTGGGAAAATACTGCGCTGAGAACTGAACAGGACACAAGGGGATAGCAACAATAAAACCTGCAAAACAAATGATGAAAATACATGCTTTTTGCCACTGGAAATTTATCTTTGAAGTTTCCTGGACTCTTGGAAAGGCAGAACAAAACACTTCATCTACATTTTAAGTGGATATGTAAAAAATCGACTTTATGATTTAATGCACTTCACTGCTTATTATCTTTTGAATCTGTTATCCTGTATGTTCCTGAAAAGGATTTTTAAAGTGCTGTTCTACAGGTTTTAGTCTAGAATAACTTACCTGCAGCAGAAAACGCTCTGGGTGTCTTCACGCTTATGCTAACAAAATAAAAATGACTTCTACTGTTTTATAACCCTCTCAATCCTAAAACAAACGTAATTTTGGTGGGGATTCCAAGATTTTTATTTAAGTAAACAGTTTTTATCGATTTCTTTCACCATCTGAGTTTTATATCCCTCTTTCACTCTGAAACTTAAAGGGCAACTCACCCAGAAAAAAAAAAACTATTAATATTTGTGTCCTAAATCATCAGTCTGGCGCACTCCCCAGGTAAATAAAAAGGGAAACTACATCTGATTCTTAGTATGATTTGACAGTTCGTTTCATTCAGTCACATGACAAATAAGCTGTTACAATAAAATGCATTTTTGAAGAGAAACATTTAAAATGTTCATGAATTAAGATTTAACAAAAATGAGTGTGCCTAATTTTTATTGACTGAAATATTAATTTGGCATTAATTTTTATGGAGTGAACTTTGTTCCATTATTATTTTGTCTGCACCATCAACACCAAGTCAAATTCCTTGTAATCACAAACCTACTTGGCCATTAACTTGATTCCGATTCTGATAATTGTTGAAAGCAAATAAAACTTTTTGTAAATTGAAATTTTAGAGGATATTTGATCCAGAAAACAAACTTTAATAAAGGTTTACATGATATTTTTTTTCCTATTTGTTTTTTCAAATTGAGTTTTAAAAATTTCAAATGCAAATTCCTTTGCAAATTCTCTTCACTTAAAGCCCAATAAAAATGTTGAAGGAAAGCCAATAGAAATGCATCTTCACTCCTCACTAAAGAAGAAAACCCGCTTTGTGAGTAATGAGCTCTTTAAGACGCAATTTGAAAATAATGCAATTTGCTAAACATAATCTGAATAACAGATAATTGAAAAAATAATTTGAGATCATGTAAAATATGTAAAAAAAAAACATTAAAATAATATATGACAGACCAATAATGATAAAATCTGAGAAAACAGCAAAGCTATTTTCAATACATTCAAGTTTCATTTCTGGATTGCACTTTTTTCTATCTATTTTCAAAATGTTATTTGGTAGAAACAATAATGGAATATAATTCACTCCATAGATGTAGTGGCTCTGGAGCAATGTGAGATGTACTTTATCATTTTTCATGTTTTTCAGTACAGGTTTCCTACTGGACAATTAGTGATGGTGCATCTTGTCATGCATCTGATTCCCATTCAAACAATATTGGGCTGCACATGTTTATAAATAAAACCAAGTAAAATGCTGCCACATTTTTAATTCTGTATTTATTTTAAAACGGTAGATGTTTACTTTCATCTCAGTCCCTCTCAGAGTAGCCGTTAGCATTAGCCTCCAGGTCCTACTAATCAGGATGCAGCAAACAATGCTACCAAAATAGGGTGAAAAAATTGTTTTATTTATACCAACTAATTATTTCTATAGGTTTATATAAAAATGCTTTCATTTGATCAATAACTTTTTTTAATGAAATAAATCTGATGTCAAGGAAAGTATCTTTGACTGCATTTTATTTAGAACTAAATTAAAACGCGGCATACAGGCAATGTTTGTTACGTTTCTCAATAAATAAAGGATAAATCTTTATTCGTATGACTCTTTTCTCTCAATTGCCAAGAAACCTTTTTCATGTTTCCACCAGTATATAAAAAAAACATTCTTTGTTGATGACCTTCGACTCTTTCCATCTTCCTAATCTTTAGTTTGTTCATTTCTTGGGTTTAACAGCTTATAGTTAAATCGATGGTTCGATTTCTATTCCTGCAATCAAACAACATCCATCTGTGCTCGGTAAATCATTAATAAAAATTACATGAGGTAGTCTAAAATAGTTTTCAAGGTTACTAGGAAATAAAAATTGAAGCAAGGTGGATTTTTTTTCTTTTTAGATGCGTTTCAAAGAGCCTTTTTAATAATAAAGATGTTAGATGTGACTCCATTAAGTCTGGCTGTGACTGTAGTCATTTTCTAGTATTTGGTTATTAGTGCATTGATCTTTCTTTATTACAATGAGAGTAACAGCAGGTTCAATCACTGCTCAATGAACCTGAAGCCATGTCCATTGCATTTATCATTTCAGATTAATGTTCTATTTGTAATATTCTATGTTGAAAAACAGCAGTGGAAGCATTTGCTAAATTATGATTTTTTTTTTATTGGGAGATGTTGCACTTTACCTTTATGTTAAATATAGTGGTAAAATTCTCAGTCATTCAAAAACAGTTTTTTTTTTTTTTAAACACTGGACTTAGTTTCCAAGTTTGAAGATGTTTCGCTTTCCATCCAGGAAGCTTTTTCAATTCCAATTGAATTGAAAAAGCTTAAAACTTGGAAACTAAGTCCAGTGGATATTATTTTGAACTTTTTTGAAATTACTTTCTGTTAAAGTTGTAATATTTTTGAGTTACAGGGAAAAATAAGCAGTGTAAACTTGCTGCCTAAAATATTTTGTGCACCATAATTTAAGAGATGTTTAATTATTGAAAATAAGACAACAAAGGTAAACCTCTATTGATTCAATCTGGAGTTTTAGCTGAACTAAAACTGTGAATGTATTTGCCTTTCTTTTTTTTACTACATATTTGTTTATGCCCATATTTATTTAACTTAAACCCAAGTTCCCTTAAAAGAAACAACAGTAAATAGGAGATTTTCAGTATGCAGGTATTTATTTCACAGTGTCACACTGGTTCCTTTTTTCGCTTAAGATTTAATGAATCGATTTCAAGTCACTGAATCAGTTCGGATTGTTCTAAATTAATCAAAATTGTCAAATCGATTTAGGAACCACAAAGCATGACATGAATCTAATCGTTGTTAAAATGAATCATTACACCTCTAGTTATTTCTAATGTTAATGTTACCTCCAGCCAGTAGAAATATGTCAGTGTAAGTCAAAGTTTAAAGCCTAAACCTGTCAAGGAAGTTAATAACTGTGGACATAACTGTACTGCACTACATGAGATCTTGACATCTTAAGCTTAAGGATAGGCAGTCAGCATGGAGTGTTTTTGAAACCCTCCCACGACTCTGATGGAAAGATGCGACCACAGAAGATGAGGTCTGTGTATTGTCAGGGAGTCTCAGTTTAGATGTGGTCCGCTGGGTCTCTCTTGGCAAAAACGGGGACTGGATTCCAGCCCTGTGGGCATGGAGTCTGGCCCACTGTCGTCAAATCAAGTGAAGTCCAAACCCAAACAGAACCTTTTTTAGTTGTTGCATAACCTCACTGAGTGTGTGTGTGTGTGTGTGTGTGCGTGTGGGTGTGTGTGTGTGTGTGTGTGCGGGGTATTTTAACAACAAATATGCACCTCTACTTCCCACTAGTGAAAAACCTGTAGGATCCGTTAAGTTCTCCATATGATGATCATCTTTTTCATTACTTCTGTTTTTTTATTCCTGAAATTCAGACTTCAAACATTTTCCAGTGACTGAATAAATTTCACTTCTGAAAATCGTCTGAAATAAATTCATACTAGCGTGTAAAAGCAGATTTGCATTTTGCTTCCATTTCCTCTTTGTCCTGTCCCCAACCCCACATGGAAACCAGGCCCTGTTTCATTCAGTGAAGACTTCCTCCAAAATTCTCGAAGTGGTGCTAATTAATCAGTGTTTTCATCATTTATATCTCCAGCTCCCCGGGCTGCCATTGCGCCTGCCTTTTGTTTCTTTAATTTAACTACTGTTATCTCAGGCCTTGGGTGAAAGGGCCTGGGCTTGGGTGGAGCACTACCGAGGGGTTCTTATAGATCATAGTTAAGGTAAAACAAAGTTCAGTGAAATATTACAGTAGTGTTTAGGTTAGGTATCAAGAAGGGGGAAGTCGCTTAAAAAATCCCTGTTTGATCATTACTCTGGTTGAACTATTTTAAAGTTATCTGTATTTAAGGTACAGTAGAGATGTTTACTAGGGATGCAAGTTATCAATTAATGAATTAATCTAGAAAACAAATAAATAAATTTACACAAATATAGCAAACGCATGCAGATTTATTTTATAAAGCCGAAAACATATGAAGGTTAGGACATTAGCATGTGTCTCACACAAAACATATAATAATATATTGGTAAAACTTAGTGGGGTGGGCTGTGCTAATATAGTTGACCTTTATGACTGTGCATTCTCTAAAAGAACCAATAGGGGGAGCCTGAGAGCAGAGGTCACTTAGCTCTGCTTGTTTAGCGTGTTTAGGAACAGGCTAGCTGCACAGAATAGATTACCGTGCTAACTTAAGTGTTATTGCGTTTATGAAACCTGTTATCTGGAAAATCCTGACTTACTCCCTTTTCCTGGTTTTGTGAAATAAGGCCCTGTTTATATGGGCTTGTTTCTCCCCCAATCCCAATAAAGAGCTCAACAACAACCAAGATTATATTCTGACAATATTCTGATTGTTTCAGACCGAACTGAAAAAAACATTTGTAGTAGAAATATTTTTCCTACCAACTCCTTTACAAAATGAGTAAAATATTTAGTAGTTTTATGTTAATATATGAACCAATGAATAATCTGTGATGTATCATTTGAATGTGCTGCAGTGGGGCTGCAGACACTACACAGAGACAGATGTGTGGGGAACCTCTCAATAATCCAACTGGTTAAACTGGATCAGAGGGTTAATCCCTGGAAGTGAACAGGAGGGCCTATGTTCTCCTGGAATGTCAGCCAAAAGGGGAATGTGAGACAATTATCAGCTTTTAAACAGGACGCTTATTTGAAAATCTGAGAAATGGAAGTTGAAACATTTTTTTTCACACAATTTTATCATTATCTCTATTTTTTGGTTCATCTGAATCTGAAAGCTGCAAACGCTGCAAAGGAAAATGTGACCCAGTATCCAACATAAACAGCTGCTGAGTCTGTGAACTGAGCTCAGCTCCCTGAATGTGTCTTGAATGTCAGCAAGTTACCGTATGTGAAACATTTAGACATAAAAAGCATCTCTACCTGTCGCTCCATTAAAACTTCAGCCTACCTCCAATCTCTCTCCTGCTGCAGAGGATTCCCTGTCAGATGGACCTCTTGAAGAAACAGACATCCCTCCACATTTTCACAAACATTTTGCAGCTCTGAGAAAGACACAGAGATTTAAATAAGAAGCTTCTGCTTATCCTTTATGATTTAAATTAGTTTTTTTTCAAATACTGTATGGAGAACACATGGAAGGGTCATGGGAATACATATCTGTTACTGTAGACTATTGAAATAGCCACATCAACCACACAACCACATTTAGAGATAGAGACTAAAGGTTGGGTCTGTGCTTGAAAATAACTCATCAAAAAAGAGAAGAGATTTCAAATCTCTCCATCAGGGTTATCCCTATAGAGTCAATATTGTTCCACTGTTGAGTTAAGAACAAGTTGTTCAAAAGGAAATTTTAAAAACAAAATCATATCCAGAAATCTAACTTTCAAAATCCTCTTATTCGAAGAAAGATTTTGGTGGTTAATGTAGTGGATATGAAAATGTACATTTATTTTGAAAATGTAATTTGACTTTTTCAGTTTCTGAGAAATAAGTCCAGATCATCACTCCTCTACCACCATGCTTAACAGTGGGGAGATGTTAGGTTTTCATCCATCATGACTAGATGGAACTAGATGGAAAAACATGGTATATACAGTAAAGCCAGTTGCATCATAATGACATTAATAACTTCAGCATATTAAAAAAATACTCCAAAATTACTCAATTACACAGATTTAATTTCTTAATGTTTTTATTTATACTCGTAATGAAAAAATGTTTGATTTTAATGATTTATTATAATTATTATTATATCATATATTTTAACATATAGTTTTTAATTTGTCACATTTATACACCAGCATTGATTGTTTTATGATATGGTCCAGCGAATCCATATTTTGCTATTGAAATGTGAATTTCCCCTAAGTTGGATCAGTAAATTATCATCATCAACATCGTTATAATCAAAAGATAAAATGTAAACATTAAACCTTCAGTCTAAACAAGCTCATACTTTAACTACAGCTCTCTCTGGAGTCGCTGAAGCTTTTATCCTTTCATTGTCTCCTCAGCAAAGAAGACTATTGAAGTGAAAAAAAGAAATATGTATGATTCTCAAAATATCTTCCAATAAAACCTGTGGCATGCGTATGTATTCAGCCACCTAATAAAATCCCAATTACCTGTGCAACCCCTAAATTAGTAAATATTATCCTTGTGTGTGGAATTTAATCCCAGTATAAATCCAGCTGCTGTCTGAAGGCCTCAAACGTTTGCTTGAGAACATTATTGAACCAATATCACAGCAAATCCTCCACAGATTATGTCATGATGGTAAAGTTACGAGTAAATTGGCCGTCCACCCAAAAGGAGAGGCTGGACACTGAGCATGACACTAAGGCGCAAATCCATGGTTTAAGCAGTTTTTCTTCTTCAGCAGCACAGAATTAGACTCTGAAATCCTTTATTTAATGCAATGGGGAAAACAAAAAAGCTGATGAAGAGCTGCAGAAATCCACCGATAATAAAACAACCAAAACTCATTCATCTAACAATAGCAGCTTTAATAAAAGAACAGAATAAATCCGTCGCCAAAGGGAACCTCATTATAAACCTCATTAGCAGTTTACAACCAGGATATCTAAGAGATACAGTCCAACTCTATGGTTTAACACGGTAATGGCAGCATCCCACTGTGGGGAAGTTTTTCTTCAGCATGATGTAGAAGCTGATCAGAGATCATCAAACATTGATAAATGATTATATTCAAAATAATTATATTTTCCCAAATAAAAAATTTAATTATTTATCATTAAAACATTTCTAATTATTTAAATCTATCTATCCATCCATCCATCCATCCATGTTTACATCTATCTATCTATCTATCTATCTATCTATCTATCTATCTATCTATCTATCTATCTATCTATCTATCTATCTATCTATCTATCTATCTATCTATCTATCTATCTATCTATCTATCTATCTATCTATCTATCTATCTATCTGTCCGTCTGTCTGTCTACTAAACTAAAAAAGGAAAAGGTTTTACCTGCCAGGCAGTTGAAGCTCAGATCCAGATTTTTCAGAGATACCAAGTCAATCATGGAGGGCAGCTGGGTTATCCTTCCACACAACGAGAACAATGGTTTCATTAATCTACAGTATTTATCTTTAAAGAGCTTCACATGAACTATTGAAATCATAAAGGAAAAAGTAGCAGATAGATGAAGACCTGTTTTGTGAGACAGCAAGATGTTCCAGAAGGGGAAGCCAGCAGGCGGCGAGGCCGTGCAGAGAGGAGACGTTGTTATCGTCCAACAGCAGCTCTCTAAGTAGAACTTGATTGTTAAGACTGGGGGCCTGATAGAGAAACAAGCTGTCAATTCACACCAGCCGCACTGCAAGGTTAGACTAACTTTGCTCTGCTGCTACTGCTGGTGGAGCAGCAGCTGAGCTGACCCCATCTATCACTGTCAGCTGCTTCAGTGCGGTTACTGTCATCAGCACCGGCTGCTGGTCAGGCTCTCTGGGATCAGGGTTGTCTTTTAGCATGCTAGGAGAGCAGGGGGAAATCTTTAAGCTTGCCTTTTTAGAATATATATATATTTTTTTACTGCCTTGGATTTAATCTCATTTACAGAGATAAGTGATTATTTTGATGAAGAAAAGAGGCAGGATTTCGCCATCTAGAGAGGAATAAGAACAAAAACAAACAAAAAACTGCCCAGATAATTATTTTCTCAGGACTAAGTCTGTGTATAAAATGTAAAAATCTCGCTGTACATCCAGCTGCCTAATCACACTAACGTTAGTGTTATACCGGCCTCTCTTCATTTACTGATAGATTAAAGGAGTATTTCTGTGTGAAGATCATAAGAACATGGATAATCAAGTTTGTTGAGGAGAGACCAGAGAATCATGTTTGAAATCTTTCCCTTTAAAAACTGAAGAACCAGTGTCTTTATAAACCGCATTATGTCTTTTGTTGCCACTTTTTTATCTATACATAATCATTTCTTATCTTTTATTATTTTTTATGTTGTATCACTTTTATTCAGACAACATTTAGCTTTATTGCACATTTTAAAACTTTTTAAACTGTCTGAATTACTGCATAAAAAAAATAAAATAAAAAAACAGGGAGAAAATGTACTTGCTTGTTTGAGTGACTGTTTAAAAACTGGAACAGAGAACATTGTTCCTCTGATCAACCAGCAGATATGAACTTCCAGCTTGGCCATGAAGCCAGATTTAAGGTAGATGTTGTTTTGTTTTCAATCAGTATCTTTTGAAAGGCATGAAGAACTAAATTATCCAACACAGCTTTTATGTTGTAACATATATCTCAAAACTACGCAGCTTTTGATTCTTTTATTCATCCATTAATTATATTTTTGAGTATATTTTCAGTAATTTAACACTTCTAAATAAATAGAACAGAATTTAGAGGAAAAATATTGCAATTTTTTTAATGCTGTAAATAGCAAAATAGGTAATAATACAATAACCAAATTAGTAGAGGATTATTTTAATAATCGGTTTGTCAGGATTAATCTGAACATGCTTTTAGCCCTAATCTAAACTTAGAATGTTGACACCAAAGAGGAACATAAATTTCTGTGTTTGCTTCCTTTCTTCTGTGTATTTAATGACAAAGGAAACTCTGATTGCCTTCAGTTTGACCAATATTTAGCAGAACTCACATCATTACCATTTTAATGTCTTTGCATTTTGTTTTTGAATTACCTTTAAATTCTATTTTCATTTGTTTTCATTGTCACCTTCCCTTCGGTATAACTGAACAGTTAAAGGTTAATCACTTCAACTTAAGCCAACTGTTTGTTTTAAAAAAAAATCTTCTCATAATCCACTAAACTGGGTAAAAAACCTCCAGCTGATCACTTTTTCCAGACTGTTTCATCTTGACTGCTAAAAGGTTTCATCTTGACTGCTAAAAGATCTTCTTTTTTTCAGTGTTGTTTTAGGGAATCTTGACTCTTTTAAAAAGCAGCTGAAGATATTCTAACACAAATAGGATTTTCTTTGTCATATTTCTAAATAATTAATTTGTTTTGTTACATGTTTGACATATAAACCCAACACTGAATGGTGGCATAAAAGCACTCGCTTTAAGTAGGGTTTGTTTTTTTTGTTTTTTTACATCTGCAGGGTTTTTGTTTTTTTGTTTTTACCTCAGTAAGGTTGTTGGATCTTAGATCCAGAGTATGTAGAAGAGCACTGTTCTCCAGACCCTCAACCTTTGTCAGGTGGTTGTGAGAGCAGTCTAGGTGGAGCAGAGTGTAAACCTCCCTCAGCCCTTTGGTGCTAATCAGCTGGTTGTGATCCACAGAGAGCCTCTGCAGTCGCCTTGCAGACTCCAGACCAGCTAGAAACAGCAAAGAATATTAGACACAAAAAGTTTCCTGACAGTAGCAAACAGCTGCACATCTGCAGGGCCTCAGAGAGTTCATAGTTCAGTTTACAGAAGGGAAATGCTGCCCTCTTGTGGAGATTTGAAGACAATCGTGTTTCTTGCTCTGTGGTTCTCACCAATGCGAGTGATTGAGTTATGAGAAAGGTCAAGAAAGTCCAAACTATCAGCGCCTCTTAAACCGTGGATGGACGTCAGCTTGTTATGAGCGAGTCGAAGAACCCTCAAACTGCTCATATTTTCACAATCCAGAAACGATATGTCGTTTTCCTGAAACAATCAATGGAAACCCTCAGTTATCACCCCCCAAAAAATCCCAGATTTACGTTTAAACATCTAGATTCAATGTTTACCCTTAAATCCACATAGCAGAGCTGCTGCAACTGGCTGATGCCTTCCACAGACTGGAGGCCACAGCGTCTGAGGGTGAGGGACTGCAGTCGATTACACTGGGCGATGGTGGACAGGCTGCAGGCCGGCAGGTCTTCTAATGTGGCTGTGGTGACCTGATAGGGAGGATGAGAGGTTACAGCTAACATTAAGTCTTTCATTTCATGTCAGTTTATTGGACAAATATGAAACACAGAATATTATCTGTCAAACTGTCATTTTTAGGATAAACAAGGTCAATCAAACTGGTTTTAATCCAAAGATTTGAAATTATTAAATAAACAGCCCAGGGGAAGAAAGCTGATGGGATAGTTTATTAGACAGGGATGAACTTTTTCAATTTTTTGCAAGAAAAAAACTGTTTTCTCAGATTAAATTTTTTCAAATTTTATATTCTTGTTTTTTATTTTAGATTTTCTTTTTGGTTTTTATTTGTTTTTTAAACTTTATTTTTTCACATTTCATTTTTACAGATTAAAAATTTCAAATGTATTTATTTTTAGATTTTCTTGGATAATTCCCATCTCCACACCTGTAAAGTGCGATTTGAATAGAATGCAATTAAAAAAATTAAATCTGAAAAAAATATAATGTGAAAGAATGTAAAATCTCCCAAAAAATAGAAAAATATTTGGAGCTTTAACCAAACATCTTTTTTGCTTGTAACAATAATGGAACAAAATTCCCTTCATAACCTTCCAATAAAACTAAGTCAAAGAATGCTTCACAAAGAAGCTGGTGTGAAAACGTCAAATTAAGTTTCCAGAGTCAGTGAAGAGTCGGGGAGCCATGCCATGAGCTGAAGTTGGTCCACTGAGTTCTATGAAGCCCACAGGTTTACATGCCTTCTTCAGCTTACGAGCTATATGAGGATGCTGGCTTCATGCTGCACCAATACGCTGTAACGGTAACTCACTCACTTGAACCCTGTGGAGAATTCATAGGTACTACCAAGTGGGAGATAAGAGAAACCAGAAGAAAGAATCCACGGCAGCCATTTTTAAAGCAACATCTCAGTAGAACCACATGCAAGATCCTCACTTCTAACTCAATTCGTGGAATGACATTGACTGTTTTATGAATTCACAGGATACTTTGTGTATTAAAGTATTTTCTAATGTTCTGCACTGCAAAAAATCTAAATCTAGATAAGTAATTTTTTCTTAAAATAAGTGCATTCGTTCTTGAATTGAGGAGGTAAAAGAGACATTTTGCCAATGGAACTAGACAATTTACACTTATAATAAGAAAGCACAATTGCATTGTCTTATTTCAAGTGCATATTATCTAATTATCTTATTTTAAGAGTAAAATTGCTTATTCCATTGGCAAACTATCTCATTTACCTACTCAAATGAAGGGTGAATACACTTAATTTAAGAATTTTTTACTTATTTCTAGCTCGTTATTGCAGTGTGAATCCATATCTTTGTTCTTAACTGTCTAAAAACAGATGTTAAAGGTATAGAGGAGGATCTTCTATTTCCGGTGGATCATCTAAATAAGTGGTACTCCTAATTGTCAATCTTTCAGGTGATATGTTTACGTAAGGCCGTCCTATGTGCTCGTCTCGTTAGCTATATTTTTCTGCGCATGCACACTTTCAGGCCACATATCTGTGGTGAGCTACGGTTTCAGACATTGAAGCTTACCTTTCTCACCGCGGTTCTTTGAAAATGGCCGAGGGTCGTAAGAGAAAAAGTGTCTGCGAAGTGTATGAGAAGAAAAAAAGGCCTCAGAAGAGGCACATATATTCTAGAATGCTTTGCGCAGAGATCTCTCCTCGTAAAGCATTATGGGGTTTGCTGTCACAGCGGCCCACTGTTGCCATAGGCTGTTGCTACACCACAGAAGGAACTAATAACAAAGATGGCACAGGCACAGCACAGTGAAGGAGGAGTTACGTGACCAACGGGGAGCAAATAGCAGTGATCCTCTGTCCAAACAGTCAGTTAATTGAATTTGCTATAAAGTTTACTATATAGTCCCTGCTCTAAATAGCGATTAAGGGATTTAGGGGTTAGGGCGAACATTTAGACACATTAAGCTTGTATGAGCTATGAGAACAGAAACTTTTGTATAGAGCATGTTTGAGGAGAAATGGGCTTGTGCACGCTCTTGCACAAGCCCCTCTGTATGCTATTTTTTTAAAGTGGAGAGGACAGGTCTTTTTAAAAAATTAGCAAAAATCCTCCACTATAACTTTAAGTTTTCATTTGCTGTGAGCCATAATGACCAAAAAACCACAGAAATAAAGTGTGCATCAATATGTCAGCGTCATCGTTACCTCCTGCAGGGATCTTCTGCCTGTGGACTCCAGCAGAGTCTTTGGGTAAAGAGGGGGCAGACTGCTAACGCCAGCTGCCCTCCTGGGCCTCCTCTGGCTCTGGACGCAACCCTTCTGCTTCTTCTTGTTCTGGAGGGACAGTTTGGACCAGGGTGTGCAGTATTCCTTCCAATACAACATCTTCTGCTCCGTGTACTCATGAAGGGACGCAGGAATGGGGGTGGACTGCTTTGACTCTGAATCCAGTGCGTCTGTGGAGGCGTCAGCCATATTTCTTCCTGGACAATGATGCTGTGAAGTCTCACAGATGCTGAGGCTTGTTGTGGCCTCAATGAGGGATGGAACGGACACCAAGGGGGTCCAATGCTCAGTTTTGTCTGAGTTCTGTGGAGACTCTGCACTGTCATTTTCCTTCTTCTTCTTGTTCGGATCATTCCGGTCTATCAGCTCAACCAGTTTTTTTGCTTCTTTCTTTCTCTTCATGGCTCCTCTACCTTCTTCTTCTCCCTTTTCTAGAACTTCTATCTGTTCTTCTTTGTCAGCTTTCATTTCATCATCTTCTGCTCCATTTGTCCCACTGTCTTTTGTTCGGCATCCCAGATCCTTTAACTCTTCTTGCCTCTCATCATTGTCTGTTTTCCCTAAATGTTCTGTTTCTCTCTGCTCTCTTTCATATTTTATACTTCCTTTCCGTTCTTCCTTAACTGTCTTTTCATCCTTTGCATTTCTTTCATTTTCTTCTTTTTCTTGTATAACTGTCTCTGATTCCCTCCATCCCTGTCCCTCCATCTCATTGTCTTGTCTTTTCTCATCTCTGTTTCTTAAAAGGCATTTTTTCCCTAAACATAGATCCCCCCTCTTTCCTATCTTTCTCTCCTCTTCCCATTCTTTGTTTTGCATTTCATTCTCTGATGTCTTCCAGCCTGATTCTTCCCTCATCACCTCGTTGTAGTTCACTCTAACCTTAATATGGGAACCAATCATTGAATCTTTGTCTCTTCTTGTTTCTTTATCTTCATTCTTCTCCACCACTTTCAGTTCTTCACTTGGCTTTTTGTTCTTTTTTTGTTCTTCACCGCCCATCATCACCATATTTTCGGTTACCATTGACCATCTCTTCTCCTCTCTCCTCTTTGTTTCCTCCTCCTCTCTTTTCACCCCTTCCTTAACTTCCTTCTTTTCTTCCTCATTCTTTCCTACCAATTCTCTCATTTTGTGCCTTCCAAATTGGACCCATTTATTTTCTCTCACGTCTTCTCTCTCTGTTATTTCATCTTTGTTTTTATCCTTTTCCTCTGCCTCCTTTTCCCTCATTTCTTCTTTTTTTCTCTTCTCACTTTTCCTTCTCTCTGTCTTCTCCTTTATCTGGCTTTCTTGCTCCATTTTTGTCCTCCTTTTCTCCTTTTCAATCATCACCCTCTCCTGCTCCACTTGCTTTTTAAAGTCACCAATCAGCTCCTGGTAAAGAAGCAGCATTTATTCAATTAGTCATTAGAAGCGAAACAAACATAAAAACAGCTTCCAAAACTGAACGGAAGGTTTCAGTTTTAGAAACTCTGACTTGAGAGACCTAAACAGCCCCATAGATACCGTTGAGTCAAACTACTTCCCGAACATCCAGAATATGTATTAGCAATTTTAAAATTGTCAAAAGATCCAGATATTATCATGGGGTTTTTACTTGATTGTCTGGTGGTTCATTTATGTATTATTTTGGTTAAACGTTTTGGATCATTGTCCTTTTCAATGAGCATGTCAGGCTGCAATGGTGCACCTTATGCCAAGGAAAAGTCCAATACATTTAGATTATGATCCATATAATAATTTGGATATGGGAAATTTATCAAGGATTCTTTAACATTATTTTGTGGAACAGACAGTTCAGCCCTAAATCAGTGGGTGGCAGCTAGGGGTGTAATTAATAATCGTTTCGTATCTATGCATCGATCCAACAGCCAACGATCCGATGCATCGACACGTCCGCAAAATAATCGATTCATGTTTTTTTTTTTCCTCCGGTCTATTTTTATCCATTTGCTCCTGGGCCTAATTCTAATTAATTGTGGTGGCGCTAAACCTATTTTGCCCTCCTACCTCGCTTCCTGGTTATACTCTTACAGCAGTGTGTTGCAGTAAGCTTGATACCGACATTTTTGATTTATGCTCAATATTGAAGCATGGTCTGAGCTACACGCTGTGGGTCTAGATACGGCCGAGGAGGCGAGGAAGTGGGGCGAGTTTAGTCAACGACGGAGGGACATGAGGGCCAAAAAGGGCGGAGATCCAGGTGGAAAAAAGGGTCCCAGCGTTCTCGCGCACCTCGCTCTTCTAGCGGGTCAACCTTTACGAGTTGTTTTCTGCAATTTCGGTCATAAAAACAAAACAAGCCGGCCTCCTGTCTGCGGCACTGTTTGCGGTCAGCTACAATTTGGGAGAAGAGCAGCGGAGCGTCTGAGGAGGGGGGGGGACGTCTGGAGCCGAGGTATTACATTGCACTCATTGCACTGATTTTGTGCAGTATTTTTTGATACAACTTTTCTACTTCTGTTATTTGCTGTTGTTTCTAAAAAAAAAAATGCATTACGATATTACAGCTTTCATTGATTTATTTCAAACTTGAAACTTTGTTTAGCCTGTAAGGTCTAAAAAAAAAATAATAATTTTATCGATTAATCAGAGAAGAGAGCAGTGTGTGGAGCGAATGTGGAAAGTGGGACAGAACAGACACCAGAGGCTTCAGAACACTCAGTGCCTCACTTATCAAACTACAAATGAATTTTAGGGAAATTTTTAACCAGAGGTGCGCCTCATGCCTAGGAAACATTCATTGAATTTTATTGATCCAGATCATGCGATAAATTCCGTTGTAAGTAACAATATGGGGTAAAAATTGTTGCTTGGCGGAGGTCTGCGCTCTCAGAGTGATTCTCTAGTTTTTTCCTTGAAAGTAATGCAGTGAAATAGAGTTCTGCTTTAATTTATTCACAGCCTGATTCACTTATTTTTCCTCTGCTAACTGTCTTTAAGTTAAATTTATTAACGTAATTATTTAATATATGTTATTTCAAAAAATTCAGTGTTTGGGTAATTAAGTGATATCCTAGAAACTCCTAGGACAGCCAATAGCAACTTTCCTTGCTGTAGAGTTGGCAACAGTGGCTTCCACCACACTGCACTAGCAAGCTCTCTTATACGTTTATTAGATATATTTCTATGAAGTCAGAATTCTGCCAAAAAATGCACACATGAAATAAATATTCATACATCCAGTTTTATTAAAAACACAGAGATGTATACCACTACAGAACCACCATAGCTAACTCTGCAAGAAAAATTGCTATTGGCTATCCTAAAAGCCCCTAGATTAGTCATTGGCTAATTTGCATATTTGATGTCATCTAGATGCTGGAGATTTCAATTCCCTCTGATTGGTTTTTTCTTCCTTTGGCTGTGAAAGCAGCGCAGAGCGATACTGGGATAAGTGAAAGGGAAAAGTTATGGTAATAGCTTTTATAGATACAAGTAAAGAAAATATGCAGAATTCAGACATTTAGTTTCACATTCCATGCCATGTGGTGGTGATAATACAGCATTAGTGCTTTTCCAACCAACAAAAAAAAAAAAAAGAAAGCAGTGCAGAGACACACAGGCTGTGTTGGAATGGCCACCTAACCCTCATATAGAGGAATATAAACTGTAGAGTAGGAGTTACCCCATTTTATGAGTGTCCAAATGTCTAGTGGATGAAAAAGTAGTGGGCTCAAAATTTTCCACAAAGCATCTTCAAAAATGTTGGTGTACATCCATGATCCCAGAATGCTTTGCAATAGCTCTTCCCAGAAGGCATTATGGGATTTGTTTTGGAGGTGAGGAAGAAGAGAGAAAGTGCAGTGAGCCGGAGTCATGTGAGCAACAGGAAGCAAAAGTAGTGGTCATCTGGCCGAACGGTCTGTTAACTGAGTTCCCTATATAGTCCCCACGCAGTATATGAGAAGAAAAGAAAGGCCTCAGAAGAGGCAGATATATCCCAGAATGCTTTGCTAGGAAAGCTCTCCTCACAAAGCATTATGGGATTTGCTGAAACAGTGGCCTGCTTTCACCATAGGCTGAATTTTAAGAAATTTGGGGCCCTTGGCAAAGACAGGCAGGGGGCCCTCTGAACTGCGAAGACAACATATAAATCAGACCCATTATACAGATACAGAAATGTTAATAGAATAGACATACATTATTTACTCTACATTTTGTCCCCAGCTGACTTTCCATGCGGTCTCAAAAGGATTGAAAGATTTCTTCCAAACTCTAAGCTCACTTAGCTGATTGCTCTTTCCTGTATTTCCAAAAAGGCGATGGCAAAAGTAAACAACACAGTCCTGTAGACAAGCCATGATCTGCTTATCTGTTCTCCATCTTTCATTTGGATGAAATAATAGCTACATGAATCATGACAGCAGACAAGATAGAGGAGAGCAGGAGGCGGGGTTATTAATCTACTTGCTCTGGATATATATGTATATATATTATATGTTGTTGCAAAAGTTTCCAGTAGCAAAAAGTTGTTAGATTTGGCACTAGGACTTTTTTTAAATAAAAGTGCTAGACAGGCCTGAAAAGTCACTAAATATAGTGACAAAAGTGCTACACATGCAACATTGCTCTTAGCATCATTAGTTTTCAAATGGTTTGTGAACATGTGCAGCAAATAGACTGATCCAATGTGTTTGGCACTGAAGGCGGGCTAAGACACACTTGAAATTACAGGCGTTCTGATGGCAATTTAGCGATAAGATTTTTATCAAAAACACGATTAATGTGCAAAAATGAAGAATAGTTGTATTAACTATACATTTAAACAGAGTTTTATGGGGCCCCCAGGAACTCGGGGTCTAGGCAACTACCTAGTATTACCTAATGGCAAAACCCCCCCTGACTGTCGCTACCCAACAGCAGCGACTAATAACAAAGATGGAGCAGGCACTGCGCAACGGAGAAAGGGTTACATGACCAACGGAGCAAAAAGCAGTGATCCTCTTTCCGAACAGCACATTTAAAACATGTCGTGCATGAGGAAAAATGGGCTCGTGCATGCTCTCACAAGTGCATATTTTTTTTACTGGAGAGGGCTGGTCTCTTAAAAAATCCAACACAATTGCTTTAATGTTCTCAGGTTGGTTCTATCCTCAAAGTGACAAAAGTTGACATGAGGCACAAGCCATTTCTCAATTCACAACAGCAGAAGTATGGACTTGTGATCTCGCCAGGTACATTCTTGACAACAAAACAGGAAGTATGGACTCAAGGAGAAAGGGAGCATGCAGAACAAATCTGTGACATTTAAAACAGAAGCGTACACGTGACGTCATCACATGCTCAGCTCGTCTGGAGCTGCATTTCACCTCCTGTTATTAATAGTCTCTTGATAATAATAAATTATTTTTTTTCGACATTTAGTGGGCGAATAATAATGAACACAGTCAGATAAACACAAATCAAACTTTCTGTCGAACGAATGTACAAGTCTGCTATGATGCATGCTGGGTAAAGAGGGAGGGGCGGGAACAACATTTGGGGATTTGGACTCTTCTCGGTCTTGTGTTCTTGTCAGCTGGAACAGTGCTGGGGCTGAGGCGGATTTCACGAGTACATGAGAAAGCACAAGTTTGCATATTGAGAAACGGCCACAGAAACATGTCCACAAGCAAGAAGGAGAAAATCTAAAGGAGCATAAAAACCAAGGGAGCAGAGAAGGACCATGGAGTCATGGTAGTGATACATATAAAGGGGCCCCATGGTACTGAATCTAGATGTGGAAAAAATTCAAAATGCGCATGGAGAATAGTTTGCGGGCATGTATTCTTTTTAAAGCTACAGTGTGTAACTTTCAGCGACATCTAACGTCCAGACTGCAGCAACATGAACATCTCCCCCCCACCGCTTCTCCCCCCCAACAGTACGGCGAGCGTTACGGGACAAAATGTCTTCCACGACGTCCGCATCACCTACCTTCTCAAGTGATGAGGTTTGTTTACATAGATCATTTTACAGATAGTATTTCATTAGTCTGTGTAGGGTATAGATTTCAGTACCGTCTCAGTTCATCTCTCTCAACTTGCCGTAGTTACTTTTGAGTGTAATGGGCGATCTCGCAATCGCTAGTTTGTTGGCTCTGCGCTGCCGTAGCGCAAAGATGTCTGCCTCCATGGCTGCGAGACCCGCTCCTATGTAATTATAAATAACGAATTCTAAGGCAACGCACATATTAAGGTTAAGAGGCTGAGCTTGTAGATGATGATAAATAACATAGTTATGTATAATATATTACATTTCTGACTGTATATCCCTGTAATTATTACACACTGTAGCTTTAAATGAAATTGCTCATATAAGTATTCATTAAGCTTTGACCTGTTTGGTAGACTTCTGACTTGACATATTTTAGAACAAATTAGGGATAATTGTCATGATCTGTCACTGATGGCTGGAATTGGCTCTTTTCTCCTATCTCCTTAGCTCTGACAAGCGCTCATCAGATTCACCTGTTCATGCTTTCTATTTAAGCCACCTGTTTCCAGCCAGATTATTCGAGCCGAGTGTGAAAGTTTCCTAACTATCTGTGAGTTTCTAATGACCTGATCGTGACTGATTTCAGTCCTTCAACTTCTGAGTTTTTCTTGGCCCTGTTCTGCTCTGCGGGCCTGATCTGTTCACAGACTGTTACCTGGATTCTGCCTGCTTCACATTGTCATTAAGGCTCCGGTTGGACCTGTCTTCTGACATCCTATTCTTGGATAGCCTTGGATATCCTCGGACTTCTGATCTTCTGGCCTGGAAACCTGTTCCTGCTTCGACTCTGCCTTGGATTATCCCTCTGGATTCTTCTGCTCCTTTGCGTGGTCTGGCTTCTGTTTGATGGAAGTGGCTCCCACCGCAAGCTACGGAGAAACAATCGCTCCAGACTTCACTCCGTCTTATGGGCTCAGACTAAACTTTACCAGGTTAGTGACTCACACACTCATTAGCATTTCCTGTCTGAGTTCTGAAGTCACTAACCTGAGTGACCGTCTCTATAGAGTATCCAGAGAACCTGTCCCTGCACCCGCACACTGATTTCTTTAAAGCTGTTTTGAAAATTACCCAAATTTTTCTGCTTCAGTTCTGGGTCCTATGGTCTGAGTTTCTGACAATAATGAAGCCGGGGTTACTTACCCAATGTGCGGCAGTCTGTACATAAATTGCAACACAATTTTGAAGTTTTTTTCTAAATATACTGGTGAAAATATTGACTCCTGGGTAGTAAAAAAACAAGTTGAAAGTTGTCTTTCTTTCTTAGTGAAAATCAGGTCATTATTTAATGGTACGTTTATTAATTTCATATTACATTTAATTATGTCATGAGAAACTTATTCACTTCATTTTGTACCTTTTAAGTCTCCGTAGACAGTGGATTAAATATTTACCTTGATAAAGTTTATGTATATTGTCTTAACTACAGTAAGCTGACAATTTACCATTTATTAAAGTCAAGGTTTCCTTACATTTATGAAGAGAATCTGAATAGCTGACATCATCTTTGAAGATGAAACTTTAAGACCAACCTGCCGGAGCAGAAGCTCCTGTTCCAGTTTCTCCTGGGTGTTTCTCTTTCTGAGCTCAAGCTCTGTCTGTTGAAGCTGGGGACAGAAGACATAAACCAGCAAACCCAAACAGGCTACGGTTTAGTCTTTGCTTTACTCCAAGTTAACATTTTGATGGTGAAAAATTCAGGACATATCTACCTTTTCTGCCTCTGTGATCCTGTTCAGCTCTTCCTGGAAGTCCATCTCTCTCTGCTGTCTTGCCCCTGTTTTCTGCTCATGCTGAGGTTTCTCAGGCTGTGTCTGATGGTCACCTATGTCCAAAGTACGATTGTTCTCTTTCTCCGTATTCCCATCTGTGAAAAGTACATTAAATGTAAAACAAGCACCTTTCAAGATCCCATTCATTTAGCTCCTGGCCTAGCTTCTCTCTTTGGCTAGCAAGCAAACTCTCACCAATCTCCCCCACATCTCCTCAATCATTATCAGTCCCACTCACCCTCTGGCTTATTCCACCATCAGCGTCTGGGCCTGGGGGGAAAACTACTCTAATCCTATTCTAGGTTACTCATTAAAGCGAATGTGTCATGATGGGTTCACTGAAGGAGACCCAGTTATGCAGAACACCACTGACGGACACAAGGATGAAAAGTTGAACAGTTTATTAAAGCACAAAACACACAGAATGTACTGATTCTGGTTCGGGCCTGGGAACTGGTTCACCGGAGTCTGCGTGAGAGACAGCACAGTTAGTGACTGCTGACAGGGTTTGATTTCCACTGGTTCACTGATTGTACCTTGAGGGTTCCTCAGGTTAACCTTGGGAGAGTCACTGTTGGTTCTGGAGAAGGGTTTGTCAGCAGAGTCCGTTTGCTGCTTTAGCGTCTCACGTCTTAGCTTAAACAGACCTTGGCTTAGATTTCCCAGCTCTAGTCCTGAGCTGCTTGGGGGTTCTCTGTGAATCTTCAGGGTTTGGCTCCACGGCGGACTCTGCTGGAGAAAGATGGGATTTCTCCAGCTCCCAACAGTACCCCCCCCTCAACGACCGCCCCTTGGCGGTCCGGAAGAGGTAGATGGGCAGGAACGCTCGTACTCCTCGATGAGTGCAGGATCGAGGATGTACGAGCCTGGGACCCACTGGCGATCCTCCGGTCCGTAGCCCTCCCAGTCGACGAGGTACTGCCATCCGCGACCTCGTCGACGGGAGTCCACAATGCGGCGCACTGTGAAGGCCGGATGGCCATCGACCTCCAGGGCGGGTGGTGGGGAGTCGGACGGTGGGCACAGAGGGCTCGAGGAAACAGGCTTGATCTGGGACACGTGGAAAGTGGGGTGGATCCGGAGGGACTGAGGTAACTGGAGACGGACAGCTGAGGGGTTGATAACTCGAGTTATCCGGTATGGTCCGATGAATCTCGGGGAGAGTTTTCGAGACATCCCCTTGAGGGGATGTCTACTCCTGGCCCTCAGAGTACTCGGGGGCGGGACGTCTCTTGGCGTCGGCGAAACGTTTTGCAGATGCTGAAGACTGGTTGAGTGTGGCGATGGTTTCCCTCCAGATCCTCTGACAACGACGGATGTGATGATTGACGGACAGCACCGATATCTCTCTCTCATCTGCGGGGAAAAGAGGCGGTTGATACCCGAGACTGACCTGGAATGGGGATTGTCCAGTGGATGCAGAACGGAGGGAGTTGTGGGCATATTCAATCCATGGAAGAAATTGACTCCAGTCCACGGGGTTATTTGACGTGAGGCAGCGGAGGGTGGATTCCAACTGTTGGTTCATGCGTTCTGTCTGACCATTCGATTGGGGGTGGTAACCTGAGGTGAGAGAGGGTTTGCAGCCGAGAGCAGAGCAAAAAGTCTTCCATACCTGGGAGATGAATTGAGGACCTCTGTCCGAGAGGATCTCTTGGGGGATGCCATGAAGCCGGAAAACATGTTTAATTAGAAGTTGAGCAGTCTGGAAGGCCGTGGGAAGCTTTCTGAGGGGAACAAGGTGGCAGGACTTCGAGAAGCGGTCAACAATGGTGAGTATAGTGGACATACCTCGGGAGACAGGGAGACCGGTGACAAAATCAATGGCGATATGGGACCATGGACGCGAGGGAACAGGAAGTGGTTGAAGCAGGCCAGAAGGAGGTTGGTGTGAGGCTTTGTTACGGGCACATGTGGGGCAAGCCAATACATACTCCTTTACGTCCCTGTGGAGAGTGGGCCACCAGAAGCGTCTGGAGATGAGAGCTATGGTTCTACTGACTCCTGGATGAGCAGAGAATTTGGCGGCATGCATCCACTGGATGAGACGGGACCTGACGGAAGATGGGACATAGGTACGATTAGAGGGACCGTTACCTGGATCGGGTTCAGTGGCCAGAGCTGAGTTGATGAGGTCAGTTATTTCCCAGTTGACCACCCCTACGGTACAGGAAGCCGGAAGAACAGGTTCAGGAGTCTCGGGATGATCGACGGAGTAGAGACGAGAGAGAGAATCGGGCTTGACGTTCTTGGATCCGGGTCTGTAGGAGATGATTAGGTTGAAACGAGAGAAGAAGATTGACCACCTGGATTGGTGAGGATTAGCTTGTTTTGTTGACTGGATGTAAGCCAGGTTCTTATGGTCGGTCCACACAAGAACCGGGTGCTCAGCTCCCTCCAGCCAATGCCTCCATTCTTCCAACACCAGTTTGATAGCCAGGAGCTCTCGGTCACCCACATCATAGTTTTGTTCAGCGGAAGAGAGCCTATGGGAGAAGAAAGCACAAGGGTGTATTTTCTGGTCTGAGTCAAGCCTCTGGGATAGGACAGCTCCAACACCGGAATCTGAAGCATCCACCTCTAGGATAAACTGCTTCGCAGGATCAGGTTGAATAAGGACAGGTGCTCTGGAAAACAAGGATTTAAATTTTTCAAATGCTGCTTGAGCCTCGGGAGTCCACTGAAATGTGCGTTTAACAGATATCAGGGAGGTTAGAGGAAGGGCGGTCTGGCTGTAGTTTCTAATGAACCAACGATAGAAGTTTGCGAATCCTAAAAACCTCTGAAGTTGTTTTCGGTTCTCAGGAACTGGCCAGTCTAAGACTGCCTTGATCTTGTCCTCTGAAGGTTTTACCTGGCCGCCCTCTAGCACAAACCCCAAAAAGGTGACAGAAGATTGATGAAATTCGCACTTCTCGGCTTTCACGAACAGCTTGTTCTCCAGAAGTCTCTGTAAGACAAGACGGACATGTTTCTTGTGTTCATCGAGGTTCTTGGAGTAAATGAGAATGTCATCAATGTACACGAAAACAAACACGTTGAGAAAGTCTCTGAGAACATCATTTACTAGAGCCTGGAAGCAGGCTGGAGCATTAGTTAAACCAAAGGGCATCACTAGGTATTCGAATTGGCCCAAGGGTGTCTTGAAGGCAGTTTTCCATTCATCGCCCTCGCGGATCCTGAGGAGATGATAAGCGTTTCGTAAATCCAGTTTGGAAAACACTGTTGCACCCTGTACTGGTTCAAAGGCAGAGGCGAGAAGAGGCAGTGGGTATTTGTTTTTGATTGTAATCTGGTTCAAACCTCGATAGTCTATACAAGGCCTCAGGGAACCATCCTTCTTCCCCATGAAGAAGAACCCGGCGCCCAATGGAGAGGATGAAGGACGAATTATTCCAGCAGCTAATGATTCGTTGATGTATTTTTCCATAGTTTCTCTTTCGGGCTTGGAAATGTTGTACAATCTGCTGCTAGGAAGAGGAGCACCAGGTAAAAGTTCTATGGCACAATCGTATGGTCTGTGTGGAGGTAGGGACGTCGCACTGACCTTACTGAAGACAGGGGCTAAGTCATGGTACTCAGAGGGGACTGAAGAAAGGTCAGGAGAGTCCATCTCCCCCCCACCTCTAGGAGACCCCAACACGGGGGCAGCAGAACGAAGGCATGTTTCGTGGCACGTAGTGGACCATGATTCCAGATGACGTTTAGTCCAGTTAATGTGAGGATTATGCTTCTCCAACCATTCGAACCCGAGAACCAGCGGGGAACATGCAGAGGGAAAAACAAAAAATGTTATTGTCTCTCGATGGTTACCTGACAGAAGTAGCTCGAGGGGCTGGGTTTGGTGGGTAACTCGATGGAGTCTTTTCCCGTCAATAGCGGATACACAGAGAGGCTGAGAGAGAGGAATGGTTTTAATCTGGAGTTGCTGGCCGAGGTTAGAGTCGATTAGGTTACGTTCACAGCCTGAGTCGACGAAAGCAGAGAAGGAGAGGCTTTGATTATCACAAAAAAGCGTGGCAGGCAGTAACAGTCGAGGAGATTTCTTCGTGTTTATTTGGCCCGCCAGACTCCTCAGATCCTCTGGCGGGCCCTGGCTTTTGATTTAGCCGGGCAGGAGGCGATGAAGTGTCCACTCTCACCACAGTAGATACATAGTTTGCTAAGAAAACGCCTCTGTCTCTCCTCTGGAGTGAGCCTGGTGTGTCCCACCTGCATGGGTTCGACATCCCTTTCGCCCGAATGAGAGGCCTGAACAGGCAACGGTAGAGACTGGGGCTTAGACCTTTGAGTGGGCAACTGCTCTGTAGAGGGAGAACAAACAGTCACGTTATGTGAGGCAGAAGAAAATGTACTCTGCTTCTTAGAACTGTTTCTGGCTCGAATTCTATTATCTAATCTGATGGAGAGGCGAATTAGATCTTCGAGGGTGGCAGGTTCATCGAGGGTTGCGAGTTCATCTTTAATCTGCTCGTTCAATGCCATGAAAAAGGCTCCTTTCAAGGCGCTTTGGTTCCATCCGGAAGCTGCCGCCTTAATCCGGAAGTTAATTGAAAATTCAGCCACCGAAGAATTTCCCTGTTTAAGGTTGAAAAGAGCTCTAGAATCAATTGTTTGGTCAGTTTCTTGGTTGAAGACCTGGGTAAATTCAGCAATGAAATCAGAGTAAAAGCAATTTAAACTGTCGTCAGCGGCAAATCTTGCCTGAGCCCATTCCAAGGCTCTTCCTGTTAACTGAGAGAGAATGAAAGTTATCTTCTTGTGATCCATGGAAAAACAGCCAGGGGAGTTCTGAAAGATCAACTGACATTGAAATAAAAATCCTTTGCAATCTTTCATGTTGCCAGAAAATCTTTCTGGGGGACTAGGACGGAACTCTGATGACGTCACAGCCTGTGACCTCGGAGGTGGGACTGGACCCGGAAATGATTGTGGTGCAGCATTAGCGCTGTTCAAAAAATTAGCACAACTCTGTAGCATTTGGTTATGAGTTCCAACTAGATGGTATAACTCACGGAGCGTTTGGGTTTGTCCCTGAAGTTGGGCATCCTGCTCCTCCAAACGACGGGTAAGGTGATCAGCTGGGCCTTGAGTTTGGCCGCAGTGTTCTGTCATGATGGGTTCACTGAAGGAGACCCAGTTATGCAGAACACCACTGACGGACACAAGGATGAAAAGTTGAACAGTTTATTAAAGCACAAAACACACAGAATGTACTGATTCTGGTTCGGGCCTGGGAACTGGTTCACCGGAGTCTGCGTGAGAGACAGCACAGTTAGTGACTGCTGACAGGGTTTGATTTCCACTGGTTCACTGATTGTACCTTGAGGGTTCCTCAGGTTAGCCTTGGGAGAGTCACTGTTGGTTCTGGAGAAGGGTTTGTCAGCAGAGTCCGTTTGCTGCTTCAGCGTCTCACGTCTTAGCTTGAACAGACCTTGGCTTAGATTTCCCAGCTCTGGTCCTGAGATGCTTGGGGGTTCTCTGTGAATCTTCAGGGTTTGGCTCAGAGGGTCGGCTCGGCAGGTTAGCTCTTCCAGAGATCTCACAGAGGAGGCACGGGTTTCCTGGAAAACAGAGACAGTAGTTAGAATCCAGAGTGGATTCAAAGTCATGGAGATACACTGAGGATCTAGGCTTTAGCGCTGACCAACTGGAACAACACTGCGGCGTTGAGGCAAGGTCTGAAGACAGCTTAAGTAGTGGATCCTCTGATGATCTTTGACGAGCTGCAGCTGTGCAGGAGGCTCCCTCAGAGGATCCACGGCGGACTCTGCTGGAGAAAGATGGGATTTCTCCAGCTCCCAACAGTATGTTGATTCACAGCATCAAGTCTTTTGCCAAGGCCAGAGAACAAAGGACTTATTTCACTTATGTCTTTATCTTCTTCTGTCTCCTTGAACCCCAGTGGGCCTCAGCAGATGGCCGCTCACACTGAGCCTGGTTCTGCTGGAGGTTTCTTCCTGTTTAAAGGGGACCTTTCCTCTCCACTGTCACTACATACTGTACATGCTCAGTGTGAGGGATTGCAGAGAGTCAATGACTCCTCGCAATCAGATGGTTTTCCTTAGTTCAAAATACCTGCATAAATAAATGGAATACTTTTCTAATTGCAGCTTTTCTCTGTGTGTCTCTCCAGTTTGAAAATGGTTAAATTCCACAGAAATGACATTCTAATGTACACAGTGTGCAAAGAATATTTTTGTAAATGTAACTCTGAAAAAAAGTCCATTTCTATGTCCTAAGATTTCCTTTTTAATTTCTCTATTTATTTTTCAACTTTTTTTTTCAGGATTTATATTGTAATTTTTAATTTCCTTTTTCAGATCAAGTTATACAAATGTAATCCTTTTTGAATTGTGTTTTACAGATAAGATTCGTGTCACTTGGGGGCGGGCTGCAAGGACGCAATTCTATTGGTCTGTGGACATTTTTCTTTTTTAAACTGTGTTTGTTTTAGGGTTGAAGTGAAGAGAATATGATCTGTGAAATGTAAGGAAAAAAGTATACACTGCTCCAAAAAACAAAGGGAACCCTTAAATAACTGATCTGAATTAATTAATTATTCTCATTGAATACTTTCCTCTGTACAACCTTGAATATGCAGACAACCAAAAAAGAAAATCACACAAAAATCATCAATGTAAAGGTGTGAGTGTGTGTTTGCATGGTTGTACGTCTCTGTGTTTCCCTGCAACAGACCGGTGACCTGTCCAGGGTTTGGCCTGCACATCAATGCCTCTACTCCATGGATGGAAAATATGAAAAGACATTTTTACAAAGAAAATATAGTAATTTGAAAAAAAAAAAAGGTAATCTCAAGGCCTTTTTTATTAAAACATTTTTCAAAGTTTCAATTCTGGATTCCAATTTTTTTAGACTTAAATGTAGAAAGTGTTTTGTTTTTATTTCTTTTCATTAAATGTCTTCTTTCCCTTAATAACTGAACAGATTTCAACCAAAATCTTTGCAGCTTCTAATCAATAAAAGTATCAAATGTATAGATCTGAAATGTTTTCAGGCTTGTCCAGACTGGGATACCTAATGGGAAAAATATTAAATATAGGAGGGGGGGCTTTGAAAAGTTTATCATTGTTTGGTCCTGTGTTTCCCACCAAACAACCTACCGTCATTCTTAGAGTCATTCTTGTCATCAACAGACACACTGGGAATCTGCATAAAAAAACACAAAGTCATGTTTATCAATCCTTTGACAATTTTTCCTCCAAACACTGTCATTGAATTATGCCTCAGATTAATCAGTAATTTAGAACTTACCTTTTCCTTTGATTTCCAGACGCCTTCATTTATTTCAATTGTCAGTTGCATCAAACCATCTTTGAACTCTAAGATTCAGTCCAATAGAAGTAGATATCAGTTCACTTTCTGCCACCATATTAGAAAGTCTTATTACTGATTGAACAGTTTTTTTTTTGGTAAAAGTTTACCTTCATGTTCCTCCAGGATCAGTTTCTCACAGGCTGCTGCTCGGCTTTTTGAGGTCTCAAAGTAGCGAACCAACGAAGGAGGAATATCACCCAGCGCCTGGAATCAAACAGTTAGTCTGTGAGCTGGAGGCCTTCTCTTTGCTCATTTATTCCAGTTAGAAGTAAAACCAGACAAACATTTTTCATTTGAAGTTAGCTGCATGCTACTATAACTATAACAGAATAGAACATAGTAACGGAGTGATAGAAGTGAAATATTGATTAGTGTTTTTTATGAATAAGACCTGAAAAGTATGGCAGGATGTGCAGTTTCATCTTTCTGCCACCGGGAATTCTTCACTCTCATACCATTGATGGTTATCATGAAACCCATTGGTCAAAATAATTTATCTATTTATTTATTAAAATAATGATAAACTTCAAAGTTTGATGCAATCCAAAAACTAAACAGGACTGTTGGGACAGTTATTATTTCCTTTATAAGTCCATTTAGAGAGAGTAGCAAATATTTAAATAATTCAATGCTCAGCGGAGGAAGTGGCTGAGAGGAGGGTGCTGTCCAAGCTTACATCCATCGTGGACAACACCTTCCACCCTCTGCAGCAGACTGGAGAGGAGCTGAGCAGCTCCTTTAATGAAAGATTTTTATACCCTGTTTGTAAAAAGGAGCGCTGCCACAGGTCATTCATCCCTGCTGCCACCAGACAATGCAACTCTACAACGGTAATAAGTTGTGCAATGTATAATGTGCAACTTTCCATTTGATACCCTGTGCCATAACCTGTTTTTTTTTTATTTGATACCCAGTGCTCTATATATACACTCACCGGCCACTTTATTAGGTACCCCATGCTAGTAACGGGTTGGACCCCCTTTTGCCTTCAGAACTGCCTCAATTCTTTGTGGCATAGATTCAACAAGGTGCTGGAAGCATTCCTCAGGGAGTTTGGTCCATATTGACATGATGGCATCACACAGTTGCCGCAGATTTGTCGGCTGCACATCCATGATGCGAATCACCCGTTCCACCACATCCCAAAGATGCTCTATTGGATTGAGATCTGGTGACTGTGGAGGCCATTTGAGTACAGTGAACTCATTGGCATGTTCAAGAAACCAGTCTGAGATGATTCCAGCTTTATGACATGGCGCATTATCCTGCTGAAAGTAGCCATCAGAAGTTGGGTACATTGTGGTCATAAAGGGATGGACATGGTCAGCAACAATACTCAGGTAGGCTGTGGCGTTGCAACGATGCTCAATTGGTACCAAGGGGCCCAAAGAGTGCCAAGAAAATATTCCCCACACCATGACACCACCACCACCAGCCTGAACCGTTGATACAAGGCAGGATGGATCCATGCTTTCATGTTGTAGACGCCAAATTCTGACCCTACCATCCGAATGTCGGAGCAGAAATCGAGACTCATCAGACCAGGCAACGTTTTTCCAATCTTCTATTGTCCAATTTCGATGAGCTTGTGCAAATTGTAGCCTCAGTTTCCTGTTCTTAGCTGAAAGGAGTGGCACCCGGTGTGGTCTTCTGCTGCTGTAGCCCATCTGCCTCAAAGTTCGACATACTGTGCGTTCAGAGATGCTCTTCTGCTCACCTTGGTTGTAACGGGTGGTTATTTTAGTCACTGTTGCCCTTCTATCATCTCGAACCAGTCTGGCCATTCTCCTCTGACCTCTGGCATCAACAAGGCATTTCCGCCCACAGAACTGCCGCTCACTGGATGTTTTTTCTTTTTCGGACCATTCTCTGTAAACCCTAGAGATGGTTGTGTGTGAAAATCCCAGTAGATCAGCAGTTTCTGAAATACTCAGACCAGCCCTTCTGGCACCAACAATCATGCCACGTTCAAAGTCACTCAAATCACCTTTCTTCCCCATACTGATGCTAGGTTTGAACTGCAGGAGATTGTCTTGACCATGTCTACATGCCTAAATGCACTGAGTTGCCGCCATGTGATTGGCTGCTTAGAAATTACGTGTTAACGAGCAGTTGGACAGGTGTACCTAATAAAGTGGCCGGTGAGTGTATATATATATATATATATATATATATATATATATATATATAAATGCCCAGGTTAATACCCTGTGCAATAACCTTGTATTATAATAATCCTGCTAAATAAAAGACTTTGGCTGTCATATATATATATATATATACATATATATATGTGTATACATGTGTGTACATATATATGTGTGTGTGTATGTGTGTGTGTGTGTGTGTGTGTGTGTGTGTGTGTGTGTGCCAATGTAACTAGTAAATTTATCAATAACAACTCAATAATAACTGCCAATAAATTTAAGAATACAATTAGTTCGCGGCGGATGCGCCCCGGCTGCAGGCGGGGCCACCTGTGTGTTTTTCCTGGGTGGTGCGGTCGCGGTGGGTGTTGCGGCCGGTCGCCGGGGCTTGGTGCCGCGGGGCGGGGCGTGTTTCGGTGCTCTGTGGGGCTGGGGCGTTTCGGTCCTACTTCAGGGTGGCCGGCTGCCGGCGGGGCCCACGGACTGGTCCCCGCGGCTCCCCGGGGCGCCGGCATGGCGGTGGCTGGGGGGCTTCTTCGTGGCTGTCTCTCCTCCTCCCTTGGTGGGGCTCTGGTTTCCGGGGCTGGCCCCTCCTTGGTGCCTTCGCTCTTGGGGTCCCTTTGGGCGCCTGGGGCTTTGGGTCTCCCAGCGTTGGACTCAGTGCTCTGGGGGGGGCGCCTCTCCAGCTCTCCACAATCACTATTGAGCATTTTTTCTATGGTTAAAACTTTACATGCACAAGTTCACCCTCACAAACAACTACAGGTGCTAGGCTTCAGGTACTTAGAGATTCACTTCCAAACAGAAACCCCACATTCATATCTTCAGGTAACACAGAGTACATGTCAGACTTAATAATATTACTTTAGCGATAGTTTCAAGGTGTTGCTTTATTGTATATCTCGTACCGTGTCTTTCGGTTGTGCTGTTCTTTTTTCATCTCGTTACTGGTGATGAAGCAGACTGAAAATGTTTTGTCATTGTCTCCTTTCTATCTCCTCTTTCTTTCATCTTTTGTCCCTTTTTTTTCTTTTTCCTTTTTCTTCTTCTGTTTTTCTGCTCTACTTACATTGCAGTGTCCATATAAACTGTAAAACTCCCTGCATAATTATAATAAAGCAATTTATATGCATGAAACAAGTGGAGCAGTATGGCAATAGCCGTACTGCTCCACTTGTGAAAGTAAAATCTGTTGGGCTCTTTTTGGCATCAAGACAATTATTCTTATTGCAACATTGCCAGACAGGACACTGTAAAAAAAAAAAAAAAAAAAAAAAAGAATACAATTAAAAACTCAAGTACAAATACTTTGTTACTGTACTTAAGTACATGTTTTAGGTATCTATACTTTACTTCATTACTTATTTTTCTTCCTACTTCTGATATCGCTCATTACATTTTTTACTTTACACTTTAAGTATCTTTACTTTCTATTCATTAAATTTTTAAAACAAACTTTACTCGTTACACTTGGCTTTGGTTTAATGTTTATTAACATTTATTTCCCGTCATGTGCTCCATCCAATGCAGATCATTGGCTCCACCCACATCTAGTGAAAACTAGTGTGATTGGATGAGTCATAGAACGCAAACACTCATTGGTTAGCTAAAGGAAATTATCAGAAGCAAGCAGGTGTTCTTCAAACTGCTAACGTGAATTGTCTATGCCATGCTACAATGTCGGATTCAGAAAAAGATGTTGAAACGTCTGAAAGGTCGGACACAGGCGAGAGCGTATTGGGAGATGGAGACCAACCAGACCTCCCTCATCCTTGGCCCTATCTCAGAGGATTTTTAGAAATAGTCGAAAAATTTAGCTTTCAGTTCATATAGTGGCATCTGCTGTTTTTTTTTTTTTTAAAGGTTACTTTATACTTTTATACCTTAACTAGTTTATGGAGCGCATACTTTTTCGCTTTTACTTGACTAAAGAGGTCAAGTTGATACTTCAACTTTTACCAGGGTGTTTTTAAACTGCAGTATCTATACTTCTACTGAAGTAACAAATGTGTGGACTTTTGGAACCACTGTCAGAACTGATCTACTTAATATAACCAGAGTCTGAGTAGCACAGCCTATGCAGTAACTGCTAATAGTTGTTCTTTTTAAGTTTTAAATCCATATTGCCCACTCGCTACTGACCTGTCTGGAAAAGAGTCTCCCCTCATCATGATGGTGCCAACACCATGTTTCATCTTGGTGACGGTTATTCATGTTTTTCGTTTTTCTGCAACACAGAGAAATTTTTTTTCCTTCTGTTTCTTTCTCTAAACTGTGGCTTTTTTTTTTTTCTATATTAAGTCCAGGCCGGTAAAATGCACTAATAGATGTTTTCTTATTTGATTTTCCAACAGGAACTAAAATATCTACATAACCAGTCTCCCCAGTCCCATGATGGGGTTATCTTTACTGTTACTGGGTTACAGTTGTGCTACCATTTCTGACATGTTGACACATGTTAAACCTTCACACATGTGAATCTCTGACCTATGTGATGGGTTCCTCAAATACAAGGGGACTCAACCTCTGAAGGCAAAGACTTTCCCTGCATTTTATTCTGCGCATATGCAAGTAGGGGGCCGAACATCTACGTTTTTCAAATGTGCACTTGTAATCTATAAAATAATGTCCGTTTTTCTCTCACCTTACAGCCATGCACTTCTTTGTATAGATCATAAAATCCTGATAAATAAAACGATTACCAAGTAAACTGTCAATATAAAATGTTTAAATTTGCAAGTGAAATTCAATTTTGTACATCAATTTAGGATTAGTGTTTTTGTTTGTTGTTGGCAACTCAAATATACAAGTGAAATCTCAGAATTCTGACTTTATACAAGTGAAATCAGACTTTGATTTGTGAGAATACTAGTTTAGAAGTTATTAATACTAGTAAAATCTTTAGAACTTTCCAGCAAGACGAGTTCAAATCACAAATTCATGAGTAAGAATCAGAGTTTTACGAAAACAAATCACAAATTTACCCGCGCAAGTCAGAAATGTACAAATTATACAAACTATTTTATATATTCGATATCCTGACTTGTAGTTTTG